CTGGGAAGGAAGGAAAGACTGGCGGTAGAGCTAACAAGTCTCTCTCCAGTTCTCTGACTATTGCAAGTAAAACGCGAATACAATTTCATCATCCCATGATTTAGTACCGTTCTATTTTTTGTTTGTTTGTTTGTTTAGGATCAGTGGTGTGAAGTCACAATTTTCAAAAGAGATCACAGGGCGCAAGGCATGATGGTTACATGATGACAGTATCCCAGCCTGCACCGCGGTCGCGTTGAGAAACAGCTGATAGAATGTCCATTAAACCTTACTTCTAACGTGATGTATATAAATTCCGTCAGAAGCAGAATCAAACAGACAAATTTATCAAAAAATATTTCATCGCAATTTTGTGAAAAAATATATCTGTCGTATTTTCATAGTTTCGTCGCAAATTTATGAAAAAGTATGTCGTATTTTCATCGCAAATTAATGGAAATATATTTGTCGTATATTTTCATCGCAAATTTATGGAAAAAATATATGTCCGTTTATCGTATTTTTATAGTGTCATCGCAAATTCATGAAAAAGTATGTCTTGTATTCATCGTAATTTAATGGAAAATGTATCCGTTTGTCGTATATTTTCATCGCAAATTTATGAAAAAATATATCCGTTTGTCGTATTTTCATAGTTTCGTCGCAAATTTATGAAAAAGTGTGTCGTATTTTCATCGCAAAATTAATGGAAAATAGTCATTTGTCGTATATTTTCATCGCAATTTTGTGAACAAAATATATCCGTTTGTCGTATATTTTCATCTCATCCGAGTGCAAAAGTTTTCAACTTCTATGCGGAAAACTTGTGATCACCTCACAGCGTCGTTTTAACGGAAAGTCGAAGTTTTGTAGAGACAGAGTTGGCCCTGCTGGCAGGTTGACGTGAGATATGCGGGGCGGTCCCAGTAGTAGCCGATGAGCCGCCAGAGTGTCTGCCACGCTCCGCCAGGTGTTAATGAAGATTTCTGCCGTCCGAGATTGGGTTCCTGACAGACCCGGCCCGGGGTCGGCTCGGCAGGCCGGGGCGCGCCATCCCAGGCGGCGGATGATGGATCGAGCCCGTCCGAAGAGGTGGAGAGATCGATACGTTAGTGTACAAACACAGAACCACAGATACGGTCCGCCCTGACCCTCCTAACATGATGGACGTCAAAACAAGTTGGCAATGGCCCTGAAATGGGTTCAATTTAATAGGTGATCCGTCTTTTTCTATACATACTAAGTATACGGAGTTTCTGTCAAAGATCTGAGGACGTCGAGTCGGCCTTGGCATTCTTTCTATCACTTTGCAACAACTCTGCAATCCGTTTGCCAGAGTCTTTTGGCAGTATATGTCAAAATAATGATGTTACAGTAACTGGTAACCGTTTTGGTCTTTTTCTATACATAAGTACGAAGTTTCTTCTGTCAAAGATCTGAGGACGTCGAGTTCTTGGCATTCTTTCTATCACTTTGCAACAGCTCTGCAATCCGTTTGTCAAAGTCTTTTGGCCGTGTATATGTCAAAATAATGATGTTACAGTGAGTGGTAACCATTTTGGGATGGTGTGGCGGTTTTTGGTAACTTCTACGTGTTAGAGAAAAGATTACCATAGGATGTGCATCTGGAAATGTGTTTTCGTACCTGCGACTATCAGCGGTCATGGTTTCTCCTTTAATAGCCTCCACCAGGCCTTTCTACGGTGGTACAGATCGTCCAATTTGGTAATCTCCAAGCAGATCCCTTTCGGTGGCAAGACAGTACATATGCTGTTTGTATGGGCTAGTGGACACTCCTCTGGCCAATGGAATCTTGCCACCATATGATCTGCTTGGAGATTACAATTTTGCCCAAAAATGAGAAGAATGATTGGCCAGAATGTTAAAAAAAGAAGATTAAAAATGAAGTCTTCGATGGATAACTATTCCCATTATTTAGCTACATTTAACTGTTTTAAACCTGCGTTGCTAGTCTAGTGGAGAATAGGCCATATATTACTGATAACTTGAGACTTATCCTGAGTAAAATCTACGAGACAACTCTGACACTTATGCCACAATCCTAAAGTTTTATTATCATTTGGACGTCTTCCAAACCAGGACTTAAAAGAACGTGTGGTTATTAATAATATTATTAATCGAGCGCCATCCAGAGGCATTATGGCGAATTATGGATCATACAGTGATGATTTTGAAAGAGTGCTGATGAAACTCTATACGGTATTAGAAGTGGGGGTTACGGGAGTTTATATTCATGAACTTGCCATGAAAACTTCACCTTGAACGCTGTTTGGACGCATATTCGATATCGGTGTCGGAATGAGTGATTCTAGGGGCAAAAACGGGGTCTTTAAAAATAATGTGGGCGACCCCAGACGGACTACGCGTTATGACCCGTGACCGGCGCGGGAAAAATTATCCAGACCGCCATTAATCTCGTTCCCAGACATACATGACGAATGGTCAAGGTTTTCTCATCACCCTGGGGACGAGCGCGCTGTTTCAAACAGGCGCCTTTCAACTGTCATTACCTCAGCCATTCGTTCTAACGGTTTAGGGCCCAATTCGATTTTCTTGTCCATTCACCACACTGGGGTAATCAGGGGGGCTAATAGCTTTCCTAATAGTGTCAGCGGACGTCTTTCTGCGCTGTTGGGGTGATCAGGCCTCATTTCACGGTGCCCGGATGTAGGGTGATGTGTGAAGGGCGGGGAGAATCTCGTGTGAAATCGAGTCGCGCAGAAGGGTGCTGATTTCGTCTGAGACATATATCACAAGACACACTTGGCACAGACTTACCAACCTTCTGTGGATATATCTTTAAGACGTTAGGCTTAATCCTGCCAAGAAAGTTGGTAACTTACATTTTCGAAGTCCAGGAATTATATTGTTATATATTTATAGTGGACAACACGAAACGAACGTTTTGGAACTACAAAAGAAAATAACAATAACTTGAGCTCTGCTATTACAAAGTGTCATCTTCCGTTGGCTTGGACAGTTTCCACCAAGTAACCGTGGCTTGAAAACGGAAAAAAACATGGAAAATAACGATGGGAGAAAGTTTAGTACCATCGTTCAGAAGACTTAGATCAGAGACTGTATGGCGGACACATAATCTCCAAGCAGAGGTTTGGGTTATTTTTGGCGTGTTTTTAGGCTTCTTTTTTTATCAGGGTTTCTTTTATCAGGGTTTCTTTTTTGCACTGGATTTTTTTTTCACCGAAACCCAAATTTCAATCCAACATTCCAGGCCAAAAAAGAAACCCCGATAGAAAACCCAAAACCCAAACCTCTGCTTGGAGAGTATGGCGGATATAGGATGAAACATCGTCTGCTGTAGCTGCCAGCGCACATCCTGTGGTGACGCGACGGATCTCAACTTGTTGTTGCTACTAAACTTCTTTCCCTGTGTGCCAAACCACAGAACCTGAGACATTTCCGCTGGTTCTTCTTAAATAATAAGTCTACACCCGCGTGTCTTGAAGGAAATTGGATGCGCTAGCCGAGACTTAGCGCTACTCTCCGAGACTTATCCTAAGTGACAGCGCAGAAAATTGGTTTCAGTGGGGGTGACGGCGCCAGCGGTGCACGGGGGACTGCACGGTGTAACGCTTCTCCTGTCTGTTTGACCTCGTCATCCATTCATTTTCTCCGGACAGACACTGAGGAGCGAGGGACTAGCTAGAATTCAAGTGCAAAACAAAACCCACCACAAGAGTACCGAAGATGCCAACGAGAAAGTCGCACAGAAAAAAAACATGCAGATTAACTAAAATGAGGTGGAAAAGCTGTTTCTTTTTGCGATTCGAAATAATTGTGATCTTGTGATTAAAATGAGATATTGTTTGTGTGATAATTCAGTCGGAAAGTTATGTTAAACGCACTTATAACATGCAGAGTGGTATGTGTGTGGAAAGAAAATTTCACTTATCTTTCACTCGTACGAAATAGATACATTTTTAGTTGGACTCTATATTTGTACATATAGTCAAAAGACTAACAACAAGGGTTAAAAACAGTGAAATTTCGCCGAATATATAGAATAAATATTTTTGCACCCGCAGTTAGTGGAAAATGAAACCCTAAATGTTGGGCCCACTCCCCTGGCCAGTCAGAACATATTTTGCCGATTTTTACCATCCTAACCCCTTTTAGGATGGCCTAGTGGAGGCTATCCACCCCTACCGAAGCCCTTCTTGGTTTGTCCCGCATGAGAAGTTTTTGCGCCGCGGTCCCAAAGTTCGCGCCAACACGGCAAACAGGTGGTTCGGATTGAACCAGACTTGGCCGCCGAGTGACGGAAAAGTTTTCCGAGTCGTTTCAAAGCGATGTGTCGGTAGATTGGACTACAGGGCCGCGGAATTTGTTTTGTGCACGGGTTAGGATCCTCTGGGAAGCGACCCTATGGTCCTGTTAGCAGTCATTCTGTTTGTGTGTTGTGGAATGTTTTGTTCGTAGCATCATTCGAGATTTGACGGGGTATTCTTCTTTCAGCAATGATACTAGGCTCCTTTCTATCTTAGACTCTTGGCCCCCTATACTACATTGAATACATAGAAAGCAGACTTAAACAGGGTCTCGTGTTAAGGTACACATCTCTGCTCTGACAAGAATTTGAGCAGCGTAAATGCAATAGAATATCTTCTCATACTATCATGAAAGTTCATCTGTGTTGGTATATACATGTTTAGAGTTAAAACTTTAGATCCACCACAAAAAAGTTCTCTCACCTAGAGCTTTCGACCAGTCATTCTGGTCTTCCTCAGTAGACTGACCCAGTGAGGCTTGTCACGTAGCTTCTTTGAAGTGTGAAGTCAAAACTGGGACAAAGGTATCTGGTAGACTATGTCGGCCCCCGTCGCGGTTCAGTGAAGGGTGATGGGCCCTCATGTATATAGCCTCCTTCACCCCGCTCTCATGATATAGAATATAAAATAAAATATCCTCTGAATAAAATATCAATAAAATATCCTCTGACAGACTTTTTAAGTTCTAAACCTTCCATTTTGTCTCTCCAGGACTGGGCGATGTGTGGGGCCAAAGAAGCAGCAGTAGCTCCGCCATGGACGCGATAGGCAAAGAGCTGGGCTCGCACCTCCTACAGGTAAACTCGCGGCTTCTGCAGGTACCAACGAACTTATTCACCTACATGTCGTGGTAAGGTGGTGGGAACTTCGTGGTGTGTTTGTAAACTTGTCTCATAGAGATCGTATCATTCAATACGCATATTTTCAAGGTAGAAGTTCATTGTTAAAACGTTCAAAATGTGAAAAAATCGCAAAACATTTCGAATAAGAATCTATATTTCAAAACATCTTAAACTTGGTGGTGTGTTATATAAGTTGTCTCATGAATATTATATCATTCAGTATATGCGCATATGCATATTTTCAAGGTAAATGATACTTTTCGTTGTTAAAATGTCAAAATATGAAAAATCTCGAAAGCTTTCGATGCTTTATATTAGTCCCCACACCGCATTGGAGTCTTTCAAAACACCTTAAACTTGGTGTGTTTTTTAAGTTCTTTCATTAAATTGTATAATTCAGTATGCATATTTTCAAGGTTCACAATAAGAAACTGTTCGTTGTTATACCTTCAAAATATGAAAAATCGCACAAAGTATTTCGATGCTTTTTAGAATGAAATTCTATCTTTCAACACACCTTTAAGAATACGTAAAGGTGCAGTTTCTTTACTCGAATATTAAAGTGCAAAACGAAATCTTTACGCGTGTTTTAAGGTAGGCGTAAAGATCGAATTTTGGTCAGTGACAGGAAAAGTAGGAGTTGGTGTAACGGGCTACTGTTTGACTCTCTTTACTCCCACGTTAGGAAGGAAATGAATGAAACACTGTTTAGAGGTAGTTGAGCAGATACTTTGTTGACACAAAGCAAGGGGATAAGCACCATACACGAACGGACAACAGAGTTACCGTTGTTGTGTAATTGTGGAAGGGTTGAACACGATATCTTAATTGGTGGTTAAGTGTTGGACATAGGCTTCCTTGATAGGACAGTTTATATTCGTGCCAAACAAACACAAAATTAGCTTTTGTTGATTAAAAAAAATCACCACAATACCAGCCTTTAGTCCCCCGGAAAACGTTTTAGGCTGTAGACGAGAAAAAACAAATCGTAAAGCAATTTCACTCGGATAAATTACCAAAGAAAGGATCCCTCTGTTCTAGCTACGAAGTTTTGTTCAAAAGTTCATATAATTTTTTGTTTCTTTTCGGACTTCCAAAAAATGTCTTCACTTATTTGCAATCAATCAATAGTTTGTGCACCTGCAATTCTCCTCTGGTCTCTCATCAGTCACTGACAAAAGCTAGTGGATACTAGCTGAAACGTCTGACGTTTCCAAAATCATATCCAGTTGCTTGAGTAACTGCTTTTTGGCGTATCTTATTACCTGGATGTCTAACCTTCATCGACATTCATAGAATTACCTATTAGCAGACTGATTAAGTTGACGCTTGATAGTCTGTAAATGTTGTGTACTTTACAATTTTCAATTCGTCTACTCGTTGACTTGCTCATTTGTTATAGAAAGTTTATTGCAAATACATGCCCGAGGGCTAATTGCAGTTACAAACAACATAAGAAAGAAAATACAGTGGTATGTGAGACCATATCTACGTCTAACATTATACTATATTCTACAACATACATGGTACTAGTTTTACTGGGTTTGACTTCTTCTTTTTAGGCAATGGAAGACGAATTTACCCACTTCTTCTATAATATGTGGGTTCTTTGATTTTAGTAGTAAAATTGTAAAATTATATATACTAGTAGTCGTTCTGGTGAACAATGTTTACGTTGTTTACGTTGTTGTTTACGATGTTTACGTTGGATGTTTCAGACGTTAGACGGTTTCCTGTTTGTGGTAGCGCCAGACGGCAAGATCATGTACATATCTGAGACGGCGTCCGTACACCTGGGGTTGTCACAGGTGAGTATGTTGTACATGTGCCGAGGAATCTTTGCTGTCACACATTCACCAATTTTGCCATGTTACACGTTCACGAATTTGGTTCTCTTACACATTTGAATATTCACGAATTTGGCCCTGTCACACATTCACCAATTTGGCCCTGTCACACATTCACGAATTTGGCCCTGTCACACATTCGTATGTTCACAAATTATTTGGCCCTGTCACACATTCGAATATTCACGAACTTGGCCTTGTCACACATTTGAATATTCACGAATTTAGCCCTGTCACACATTCGTATGTTCACAAATTATTTGGCCCTGTCACACATTCGAATATTCACTAATTTGGCCCTGTCACACATTAGAGTATTCACGAATTTGGCCTCCCGAGTACCAGCCGAACGCCCCGCAACCATGGTTACATGGTTGGGAGTAGGTCGGCGCAAAGTCGACTGATGTTCGTCTACTATTCGGTTACTATTCGGCTAATGTGTTAAAATGTTCAAAACATTCGGAGGTCGGTCGGGAGGTTCGATCATAGTTGGCTGGTATTCGGCTGTAAGATAGCAGAACACCGGCCAACCATTCAGGAGTAAGTTAGCAGTGTTCAATTGGCGTGTTTTTGGGTCAAATTTGACATAAATTTAACTCAAATTCGTTCCGATTCGTATAGAAAGGTAGACGTAGCCCAATTCTGGTCAGACGGCTCCCGAAGTCAGGCAAACCTGGTTGGCTAGTGTTCGGGAACGAATACACGCAACACGGAACATATAGATACATACATACATACATAACACTTCTATTCTTAGAGAGGTAAACTAAAGTGTATATGAAATCATATATGACGGTACCTTTTGTTTAAGTCGAATAATTTATGGTGGTATATTGAAAAACTAATTAATCGGAAATGAGGCGTGCTGATTCCAGATATTGTCTAATTACGGCGTGTATTACATGAGAGGAAGAGGGGTTGATTAATTACCTGCATCACTAGATTCCCGCCCCCTGGTGTAGCTGTTTATCTACCAGTGAGACCCACAGAAGCGCCGGGGGTTAATTAGTTGATTAAAACTTCTTCATTGAAGTTTTGGGAATCCGGAAGAAACGTAAAAAATGGTCATATGTATATTTGACTAGTCGTTGAAGCCCCCGTCACACATTCAGAACCTTCCCCCGACCACAAAACAAAAACAAGATTGCCTGAAGTTCGGGAGCAGTCTGATCAGATTTATGCCATGCCTACCTTTTCATAGGAATCGAACAGTATTTCAGTTAAATTTGAGTCAAATTTGACCTCCGAACATGTCCCGACCATTGCTGACCTTCTCTCGAACACAAGCCAACCTCCAGCCAACCATGGCCGAACCTCCCGTCCACACCCGAATGTTTTAAAAATTTTGAAACATTCAGCTGGAGCAACCGAACTGTAGCCGACCTCGCGCCGAACACCAGCCAACCACAGCCGACCTTACTCCCGACCTACTCCCAACCGTGGTCGGGGGGAGTTGGGCAGTATTCGGGATGCTATTGTCGGCTATGCGTGGCAGTTGTGGTAGTCTAACTCTCCAAGCAGAGGTTGATGGGGGAAGATCGTTACCTTTTCTATATCTGGCCTGTTTTTTGTCGCTACGTTGGACCCTCTCTGGCCAATTGATACTGGCCAATTTGATGCTGTCTTTTTGCCACCCTAGGATCTGCTTGGAGAATATGGTCGTCTGATGTGTTTATATAGCAGACAGTACAACAAACTGCGTTTGTCTCCTTCAATATCTGCATCGATTTTTACGACAGCCCACATTACGGCACCGCCGTCGTACCCCATTAACCATTGTTTACGGCGAAAATTCCGCCATTAATTCACTCGATAACGATCACCCGGGGACTACACCGCACATCCCTCACACCGGCGAATTGGGAACAGAATTGATGGCCAAATTAGCCGGGGACATGAAATACATAAACAGGGCACGTGTAGGCGATGAATTTTGATGACCCTTATTATTTCCAGGGAGGCGAATATTGCCCGGAACGTATTAAACTGTTAATATCCCTCGACTCTTGCCGCAAAGGTAAAACGCGTTTTAAACTAGAAACCAAACCAAATGCATAATGTTTACCTCCGCATATGGTCTGCTCTGTTAATTCTTACTCAAACACATTCATATATATGGTCAGACAGGAGTCTAAATCCCTGTTGCTATAAAATTGCAACATGAAGTAACCTACTAGTTACCATGGTGACAGACGGTCTGGTTCAGGTCATTGACCTTATTTGTTTGGAGAAGAAGAGGTGGAAGAGGAAGAAACAGACCAAAAACAATGTTTTCCTTCGGTAAACATAATAAAAAGTTGCACAGCAACCTCTGAAAGATAAACACCATCACTTTTGAAATAGTATAATGCATGAAGACTGAAGACAAACCTCATTGAGCAAAAGCGTAGAAAAACGTAACAAGAAATAGCAAAGAAAACGTAGCAAGGACATCATATATATCACTGTAACTTTGACTATCAGTATAGATCTGCTACCCATATCTATAATGATGCACTTTAAGTGTTAATTATGTTGTATAACTGTTGTTTCAGGTGGAGTTGACAGGAAACAGCATCTATGAGTACATCCACCCTGCAGATCACGATGAGATGACGGCTATCCTCGCTGTACACCAACCCATCCACACACATATCATGACAGGTGAGTCATCAGTTACAACCCATCCACACAATCCCACCGCTGCCACCATTTGTAGCGTGCCGATATAGCCTAACATCAACGGTCTTGACACAACGAGTGTACGCTCCATACTGGCCCTGGCCACATGGCCAGGGGTACTTTATTGGGCTTAATCAGACACAGGTGTGACACAGACTAGTCAGTTACAACCCATCCACACACACACACACACGCACACACACACACACACACATACACACACACACACACACACACATCTGCCTTGTCAATTTGATACAATTGTATTTCGTCCACCAAAAGATCTGTTTGGAGATTAGAAAAAGACAGTAGGAAAGGAATATGACCGATTCTTGCTCGAAGAATACTCGATGTGGCCTCAACAGCAAAAAGGGCTGGAATGCGTACATAGAAAGATGTTTTGGTCTTTAGAAAAGGCTTAACCTCAGAAATGATCGTAAACAATGAGAAACATCCGGGTTAGCGTAAATTATAGTGTAACACGCCATATTGTGTTAAGGTACTTAGAATGAAGAAGAAGCTCTTATGCAAAGCGTAGAGTGGTGCCCATCTCCATTTCCGTAGCCCTTGGGCGACACACAGTTGTGCAAGGCACTACAGCAGGGGGCTAGTCCGCTGTGTGTTTGACCTTATTTCCACACTCTTTCTCATATGTGCTGAGTGCTGTTATATAAAGCAGAAAAAGAAGTGTGTACCATTTTTGAAGTTTTTGCTATGACCCGGCCGGGGTTTGAACTCACGACCTCCTAGTTACAAAGCGAGCACTCTATCAATTGAGCTATTGCACCGGTCTAAAAACGAGTATCATATACTTTTCTACCCATCAAATCTTTGTACTGGCCTTGTGGGAAAAGTTGCTAGCCTTATAGTAAAACGAGAGGTTTTCCCCCTCCGTGAACCTGCGATGTTCACTTCGCCAGTAGTGCACGTTTCCTGTATAGACACATGTGAGGAACATGTCCCTTCCTTTCCCACACTAGTTTTTACTCGGCGGGCTATGTCAGAAATGTCCCTGTCTAACAGACACACCTAGCAACAGAGGAAGACACGTGGATCCTTGCTCACCGTGAGTTCTAGCACGTAGCACACCGTCCTTGCTCAATGAACCTTAAAGAAAACTTTTATTAGAATTGAAAGGGTTTGCTGTCATTCACTTTACGTTCACGGTAGCAGCAAAAGTTCGCGATCTGAGAAAAATGGAGTACAGGTCTTCACAGAACTACTATATATTCGCAGTGGCAGTAGGTGAAGGAGAAAAAAAGAAAGTCGGTGAATTATATGTGAACGGTACTGAAAAGTTCTTGCTACAGAAGTACAGAAAACATCGAACATAAATGTATACCGCGAAAAAATCAGGAATTACAGTAATAGCCTCATGTCTACAGGCCAGCTTTGGAGTGTTTCGGCCTCGTGGTTTTCTTGGCACAAAGCCTTTGCCGATGTTTTTAGCCGGCTTTTCTGATCGAAATCCTAGCGTGCGTTGGGCGGGAAGGTTGGCGGGCGCGAGCACTCTCAGCGCCGAAGAGATCTTGGAGCCACGACGGTCTGTTCACCCTTCCGTGTCAGGGAGTAGTAACCGTGCACGGAGTACCCTGGGTGCCAAGCTCGTTTCGGGCCGCCAGCCGTCCCTTCGGCAGCCAAGAGCCTTTCGCCCGCCTGTCTAAATTACCGCTATGGGGGAGTCTAGCCCAATTTAGACAGGCGGGCGAAGGACTACTCTTGGCTGCAGAAGGAAATCGTTAGCGACCCGTAAACTTGTCTGGCACCCAGGGTAGGAGCGGCACATCTCGTCATGTCACTCCGCGCCGTGTCATCACAGGCGAGGAACGCGAAGAATAACACACAAAAAAATAGTTCCACCGACTCCTCTCGGGCTTTCTGTTGACGCAACAGTTTTGTTGCCGGAGCCTGTTTGTAAAGAAGCACAGACAACATGACCTCTACGTATTTGAAAGATCCACCCAAAACAAACCGCAGGGGTGAGGGACAGTTCGCCTGAACTTTTCAACCCGTCTCAAACACGTCCTACATAGTAGACTTTCTACCATATGTGTTCTTTTACGGCGAAAGCCTAACTATAGTTAAACTTTACGTTTGATCTTTCAGTTTCTACATTATCTACAAGTTGGCAATTGCCAAATTAAGTGTCGGCGAAGTCTTAAAAAAGGACATTAACCGAGAGAACGTGAACCTTGCATATTTTTATTCAAGACACAGCACTCACTACCACACGTCACTTAAGTATCTAAAACACATCAAGTAAAAATTTTCAAACTCTTTTGAGATTCGGCATCTTTTGTTGTTCTTTGGATTGTACCTTACATGTATGTTGGTGTTAAGGGCATTCAATGTTGTTTCAGGGGGCAAAACATAAACAATTCTGGATGAGGAAATCTATCTGATATTAACATTTACTGCCATTTCCTAGGACATTTTCGTCACCATTTAATACTTGAAGTATTTGAAATAGCCCCCAAACAAGCTATGTGAAACATCTCTTTATTTTGGGGGCACCACCAATAAATAGAACTAGCTAGAACCAACCTACGATACGAAACAAACATCGCATTTTTGCCTCACAGATATCAGTATGCCATGGGATAGGGTTGATTTAACTTACTATGCCCCATAAAATAACTTCGAAAATTGCATTGGATGCCTTTATAGCTTGAGCTTGTTATACATGAAAGTAGAGCTAAAGGAATTTGTGTTTTCCTTGCTCCAGATTTTGAGTTGGAGAGATCTTTCTTTATCCGACTGAAGTGCGTTCTTGCCAAGAGGAATGCCGGACTCACGTGTGGAGGGTACAAGGTAAGGGGATTTTATTTCTTTCCGCACTGTTTGCGTGTTTGTTTGTTTCGCATAACCGGTAAACCGCCTTCAGGCGCAATACGCAAGTTTTGTTCATGTAAGTACAAGCTACGTATAATATAAGACCGGATTGTAAGGTTTGAACCACTCACACCGGGAAGGACCCTACTCTTTTCGATAAGTGTGGCGGGTTCTTTAACGTGCGCGGGGTGTGGCTCTTCCAAACACGGGGCCTCCATTTAACCACCGAATAAACCACCAAGTGAGCGTAGCGAACTACTGTTAGCGCCCTGCCCCCTGTATAATGGTACGGTCCAAAAAGTGGTCGGTTATTCTAATAATAATAATAATAACCGACCACTTTTTAGGTTACGGCCTGATAGTAACCAATGGGAAATGGAGCCTTCTGATTGGTCAACATCTTCTGGTTATATAATGATTTGCAATTAACGTTCTAATTGTTTCTCCAGGTTATCCACTGCAGTGGTTATTTGAAGATTAAACAGTACACCATGGACATGGCTCCGTACGAAGGCTGTTACCAGAACATCGGGCTGGTGGCGGTAGGGCACTCCCTCCCTCCGAGCGCCATCACCGAGATCAAACTATACAGCAACATGTTCATGTTCCGGGCAAGTCTGGACCTCAAACTCATCTTTCTAGACGCCAAGTGAGTTTGTTTGTTTGTTTGCTTATTTGTTTGTTTGTTTGTTTGTTCGCACAATAAGAAAATAAGTAGAAAAGTATACAAAAGAAAAACAATGTGCAGAAGGGTAAAAATCAAGCTACACTCAGGCTACAGGGCTTGTACAACGACCTGCTTCTTCCAAACTAACTTAACAAATGATGATCATGAAATTAATGTGATGGAAAAAAAAGAAGATAGCAAAAAAAATAATACATCTAAATAAATATCATGAAACTAATATATTAACTGAAAATGAGTTAACGGAAACAAAGATAAAGCAAGCTTATACAGTTATAAAAAGTGAAAGTGATCTCGATCCAGTTTAGCTCATTGAAGAGCTAATCTTCCACTGGTCGTGACAGAGAAGACAGACGATATGTAAAGTATTTACAGGTTCATTGTACCGGGGAAATTCCCCTAGCTCTTTTCGACAAGCACAATGAACAGTGGACCACAGCTTAACGTCCCATCCGAAGGACTGCGACCCTAAACAGTAGCGTGCATGTCGGGTGAGCGACATCAGCCGGGATTCGAACTCCCAACCTCTTAGTCCAGAGGCAGGATCGCTCACCACTGGACTACGCACGCTACTATTATGGTTTAGCAAAGCAGCTCCATAATGAAGAAGCATATTTTACAGGACCGAAAACCAATATACTACAAATTAAATAGGATCCAAACCCTGTATTTCATCGCCTAGAACAGATGGTTCATCTAACCTAGCTGTGGTTTCGTTTTAACAAATATTCTGAAAGAAGTTAAAGCGAAAAAAAAGTGCCTCAAAGCGACGAACGCAAACCCGCAAAACTTCCCACTTGTCCCTGGCATGCCCTCTCCTTGGTGCTGAACGTACCATCAAAGCATATGCACTTTAATCGCTATGTGTATTTTCGTTTACACTTCTGCCCATATGAATCCCTGGCGTAATACTTTCAACTCGGTAAACTCGATAAACTCGGGACCACAGACCGATAGGCAAAACATGACGCTGTTTTCGTTAGCTTGTAGTACATGAAAATAACACGGTCGTTATAGGCAGGGATTGGGCCATGTGCGATCCCGGTTCGCGGTAGTTAACTGGTCGGCCTAGACAACCTCCTTCATGCTAACGTCCAAAGGAAATGAAAACAGGCCAACAAGCGGTCGTCATGGCCAAATGGTAGGCTTATAGAGGTGGTCGCTATGGCAAGTTTGACTGAATTGTACACTATATAACGATAAACGCACAAAGTTCTCTCCACTTGCTCAACAGAATTTGTTACATTTCATGCTATAGATAAATTTAATTTCATCCTAGAAGGTAATAGCCCTTACTGTGTACAAATACGTAAATATATCAAAGAATGTTTAGACCTTAGAACAAGTAGTATTAGTTGACTCATCTATTGTTTTGTACGTAGGTTAATTTCGTTGTACCCATGTATATTTGTCTGTATATCTACATGTATTAGACCTTACGAAATTCGCTTTACTTTTGTTGTGATAATAAAGTTCTTCTATTACAACGTACATCCTCTGAAACTCTACATTCTGTTCTCGTATAGGGTAGCGCAGTTGACTGGCTACGAACCACAGGACCTGATAGAGAAGACCCTATACCACTACGTACACGGCAGCGACATCTTCCACCTCAGATACTCACACCATCTATGTAAGTTACTATTCCGTATATATCGCAGTATGCATATAATAGTACTTGTCTGGGTCATGGGGCAGTTCTCTTGGGGTGTTATCTGTTTTCATGGCTAGATTTCTATGGTGCATGCCTTCGTTTGGAAGGGCAAACCCCATATTAGTAAAGTAGATAGAGAACCTTACTACAGGTATAGAACCTTACTACATACGAGCATTACTAGTGTACATGTAATCTTCATTGCATGTCTCACGTGTTCACATTTTGTAAGTATATCATCACTTGAATTGCAATTAGCCCACGGGCAAGAATTTGCAATGAAGTATTATTATATAATAAGTACGTTAAAGATAGGTACTGCATGTTTTGAAAAACTGAAGTGTGTCTCTCCCCAAACACGGGACCTATGCCTTTGGACAATGGTGCTTTACGTCCTATCCGAGAGGACGTCCCTAACCGAAGCTAGGTACTCATTTACACCCGAGGAAGTATGTGTAAAGTGCCTTTCCCAAGGACACAACAATGGAGTCTGACAGGGATTCGAACCCAGGAACTTCAGATTCTGAGTCAACAACTTTACCCTCAAGACTAGAGTCATGACATGAAGAACGTAACTATAATTATAATCTCAGTGGTCGACAAAACACTGGGACAACTCGTAACCAAGTGGTTGTGTTTCTGTGTTTCAGTGCTGATGAAAGGTCAGGTCACCACCAAGTACTACCGGTTCATGGCTAAGAACGGCGGCTGGGTGTGGATCCAGAGTTACGCCACCATCGTGCACAACAGCCGGTCATCCAGACCGCACTGCATCGTCAGCGTCAACTACGTACTCAGGTCAGTTACGACTCCTTTTTATCTTCGCCAAGAAGATTATGTTTTCAGAGGCGTTCGTCTGTGTGTCTGTGTGTCCGGAAACACGATAACTTAAGAAGGCTTTAATGGATTGACTTGATATTTGGTAGGTGGGTAGGTCTTGGTGAGACCTGGAAATGATTAGATGTTGGACCACCTAGCGGCTTCTCATGGAACTGCAGCGGAACTTCCGGTTTTGATATCTTTTCTATTATGTTTATCGAAGGAAATCACACTGTTGTTTCTCAGTTTCTTCCTCTTCTTCTCCAAACCAAAAAGGTCAATGACCTGAACCAGACGTCTATCACCATGGTACCTGGTGTTCGGTTACATCATGTTGCAATTTTATAGTAGGAGGGATTTAGACCGGCTTTACGTCCTATCCGAGAGGACGTCCCTAACCAAAGCTAGGTACTCATTTCCATTAGGAGTCGAGTGAGGAAATAGGTGTAAAGTGCCTTTCCCAAGGACACAACAATAGAGCCTACTAAGGACTCGAACCCAGAACCTTCAGATTCTGAGTCAACAACCCTAACCACAAAACCACCTTGCCACCTAAAGACTTCTGGTGTTACTACTTTGAGATACCCACTTAGACATAGACTTAAACCCTCGCGTGCCTAATGTCACATCGGGCAACAAGTTATCTCCACTCACGATCAGGGAGGGTTTCTGCTTTCTTCAGGTTAATCCTTGATGAAGCCTTTTGGATAGAGAACAGTAGGAAGAAAGATAAAGTACCAGTGCTGCAAGTAGATTAGCACAAGATGAAAAAAATGTTTGCAGATTGTTGTGTGTTCTGTTAAAAGTTTGTTAGCCTGATAACTTATTGTATTTTCTGATATCATGCGAAGTTTTCACTGATGTTTTGGTTTGTTTCTGTACAGTGATCTAGAGACGAAGGATCTGCAGCTGTCTATGGAGCAGTGTGCGCAGCGGAGCACGTTCGGTATCGGCTCCATCCAGGACAAGGCGAGAAGCGGCAAGTCCAGAGCCGTCAAGTCGTCCAAGTCGTCCCGCCTGTCCAGGATGTCCCCGTACCCCCAGGTCTCCGCACAGCCCGACTTCTACTCGGGCATGGAGAGCTCCATGGTCGCCCAGCAGCTCTCACCTTGTGAGGTTCCGCCACCGGTCCACGCGTACACAGCTGCTATGGCCTATCCAGCGCACGAGGGTCTAGATAGATGCGGTACGATGTACCACACAGGGTACAGTAGTCACCCTTACGACAGCTCCTGTGTGTACCCCTTTGCTGGGATGGACACGTGCGGACATTACATGGAGGAGAGATCGCACTCCAGTTCTCAAAGGACATATCATTTTGACGAAGAGCGGTACTATGCCACGCAGGAGTCAGCAACGGGACTGTGGCCGGCACACAGACACGTCACTGTGCGGCAGGAGGAGGCCATGATGCCCGGGAAATTTCACATGGGGCACCCGGACGATAGAAGCTACTTCACGGGGCACTGTCGGGCGTCTTGCTGCGAACCCAAACGGTCGACTGACCAATACAGTACTACAGACCGACGACCAAGCTCTCGCCACTCGGACTGGTCGGACCACAGTCGGCCTCAGGCGGCGTCGGACGCGCGACTGACGCACGGCAGAGGCACGACACCGGGGATCGTGTTCGTCGGACGGGGACGCGACCATCCCCGAAGACTCACGCCAGCAGGGCGTGGGGAGAGATTACCACGGGTCCAGTAAGATCGACTCCCTCATCCGCGCGACGCAGCAGCTCATCAACGAAGAGGAGCAGGTCAAGAAGACGCAAGAAGAGGCCCAGTCCAAGTCAAAAAACGCCGGAACGAAGGACCGCCACGCGGCGGCGGTCGCCTCTGGTAAGTCCCCGAACTGCGACGCGCAGTCACCGGTCACCAGGCTAGCGAGTCAGCCCGACAGCAGACACGGGTCCCCCTACCCCTTAGACTGTACATCAAGAGGGCAGACCGAACTCAACGGCTCGCCAAACTGTAACGGAGACGACCGGTTCTCCAAGAGCTGCAGGTCATCAGAGAAAGATTCTAGCGGCTACTCCACCTCCCTCCACCACCTCAGTAACATGGTGGAGACCCGGGGACGCGGCATGAGGCTAGGGTCGGCCGACACTCCCACCAACGGGCTACATCAGTTCCACAGAACGCGCCTTCAAGGATCAGCTGAACTCGATAGAGAGAGACATGAGGGCCGTACAAGGCAAGCTACAGTACGTACATCCCGGACACAGACCGGGGGGCGTACACGTCAGACTACCGCTACAGTTACGTCCACAGCCCCGAGGCGCGCTACTACCCACCCAGCATCCACGGAAGCATACACGACGGACAGTCCGAAAAGACGAAAAACGCTTGCTCTTACTCGAGTAGTTACAACGACTTGCTCGCAAATGGCTATGTATACTGATGCGGTGCAGTGTTTGTGTGTTGACACCACTTTCAAGAAACTTGCGAAATTGTTCTCCGACATGTTTGAAAAGGTTGTAGAAAGAAAATGTGTAAAACATCTGCACTGTGAGTCCAATGGTAGGTCATTCTAAAAACGGCAGGCTGCTACCCTGGTAGTAAAAAATCCGTGTAAATTTTAAACTGGCGGTCGTTGACAGCAGTAGTCAATCCATGGCTGTTAAAGTTTGGGATAGAATTACATGATTAGTTCGGGAGCCGAATTCCTGTATCCACACACACCTCAAACACCGGCGAACTTGTGACATGGCCGACCAGTGACCCAGTCCCAGACAAGACGCTTCGGTCAAAAGGAAATTCTTCACATTTTCGCATCCCATTGAGTGCGCTCAGGTACACCTAGCCTGGGGGGAACGTATGTACTTTGGTCTAATGCCCATTAATTAACACAATAAAAGTACTGAGCGTCACAGAAAGAGCTCTGATTGACGTGTTGTAGATCCTGAGTTGATGAGGGGGATAGGTAGTGTATAAATCAGCGTATAAAGTAAGGGAAGATTGATGAGAGGATGGCGGTGCGCCAAGCTGTCTTGGCCGGCCTTACCGTCTGAGTCGGCCCGGTTGTTTGTCTGTCAGTGCCCTGACCCGTGTGTGCGGGGTTCAGCGACAGGTTGGCCCGGTACCCTGTAGAAGACGTTACCCCCAGGATGACCTCCTAGCTTCCTCACAGTCAACCCTGTTTATTTGCTTGTCCGAGAAACCTTCTTGCCACTCAAGAATTCTTCAGTGAAGTCTCATTCAGACAGTAATTGATAGCGTACCAGAAGGGAAGCAATTTTCAGACGAGAAAAAAATCTTTCTTTTTCTTCAGATCTGAATCAGTTGAAAAGCAAAATATTGCTACCAGTGCAAATGCTACTTTGTTGCCAAAGATGTTTTTTTGCTTCTTTTCGGGAAGTTTTTCTTTGTTTTTATTATTTTCTTTGCATATGATATATGCAATGGAATATGGATGTATACAATTTGTATCTCGTATCAACGTACATGTGCAATTGCTGTTTGATACATCATATTTACATGTACAGTCTATACTCGTGTGTTGGTATTCAAAAGAGGAAGGGCTTGCCCGGATCTGTACATTGAAACTGATATATAATGTCTGTTTATTGTCATGATACTGTACGATAATTCTAGTATTTAGTTACAATGTTGTGATGTAGACACGTATATGTACGAAAGGACCACATGACCGTAGTTGTCATCGTGTTTGTAATAGTCAAGATTTGTATATAGGAGGACAGACAGTTGGAAAATAATTATGTACATATTTCAAAGAGGTTTTTGAAATCTTTATTTCGTAGGCATGGCATTAGCGGCTGAGTGTACATGGGGTCGTTTCTGATTCTGAGTGCAGGGCTCGAAATACTGGAAAACTCGTATGCAGGTTAGTGCAGGTAAAATTGGAGCTGTGCAGGTATTTCTGATGTCTACCTGCACCTAACCTGCACTGGTCCATGTACTGGGTATATGCAGGTTAGTGCAGGTAAAATTGGGGCTGTGCAGGTTTTTCTGATGTCTACCTGCACCTAACCTGCACTGGTCCATGTACTGGGTATATGCAGATTAGTGCAGGTTATATATTTATATACATGTACAGTAGATGTATGAGGATTTTTATTGAGGATTTTTATTATTATTTGCTACATTGAGTGTTACCACCTATGACGTTGGCAATAGTTTCTGAGCAGTTTTTAGTATGATCCATACTTCTCGTAGTCTGATTGGTGCAGGTAGAGTTATGTATGGTGCAGGTATATAATTTTCAAGTTACCTGCACCAGTGCAGGTATGCAGAAAAGAGTATTTCGAGCCCTGAACGGTTTGGATACATGGAAGCGTGCAAATCCCAGCGAGTAATAGGAGATCAATCCAGTAGAAACGTGCAGATAATTGTAGCGGCGTGCGGCGATGATATCGCGGCGGGACGTGGGGCTCCATGAGCGCGGCAGATTACCGGTGGCTCTCCGTTATTACCGCTTCTTCGACGATTGTGCCTTAGGTCATGAATCATACCGCATAGCATGCATATACAGCCAAACCCACTAGCCTCTGACCGAGATATTCCGACGCTATACCGACATCATACCGACACTATGCCGACATCATACCGACATTTTGTACAGACGTTGTTTTTTCGTCCAGTAATCAGACTACATGTATAGATACGGATACTACTATTGAGTACGTCACAAAGTGCATAGTGCGGTCGTCATTGTTACATAACTATTCAACCAAATGCGATGCATATCATTAGCGGTTTGGTACGGTTATAGTGATCTGTTTTAGTAGTGGTAAAATTCCTTAGTTTCTGATCTCCCAAGTCAGCAAAGGAGTACGTTCTTCACAAATGAATATTCTCTAGGAAAAGAAGCCACAATGTGAAAGTTTGAAGACTATAGTGTGCTCCCAGTATATGGTTCTCGAGACTTCGTGCATAGTAAAATCTTGTTGCTAACGTTACAATAGAAACCCAATTTGTGAGACGTTTCATAGAAAATGATTTAGATCAGGAAATGTAACTTTCAGTCTCAACCCAAGTTTGTAAAGAACAACAAAATTACAGTACGCAAGTTTTTTCTACATACATTGATTCCAGTTCAATATGCATATGATGTATATGCATATGATGTATCATATTGGAGGCTGGTGGATATATGAAAATCCCCACAAAAGTCCTAATGTTAACCCCAAAATCCAAATCCAAGTCCATCCATTCAAAATCTTTTCGAAGTAGAAAATCTATTTTTGTTAGTGTCATTGGCTTTTATTCCGGCTCAGTGATTGGTCAATTCAAAAGAACCGTTAGAAGTGGGACAACCGTAACATATTCCGTTCCAAATCTGTTACCGTTATGTTTTTAAAGGTTTCAAACTTTATCGTTATAATTATGATTTTTTAATGTATTCGGAGAGTCTACCATGACATCATGTACATATATACACTATGAGAGTCTATATGACTAGTTTGGTGAATATTATAATAATAATAGATATGAAGATAATTGATATCTTGTACATGTGATTGTGTCTTCCCTTGATTCAAACTGGCTATACCAAAATGTAATCTTTTATCATGAGGAAACATGGATGTTGTATTTATATGGCTGTGGACTATTGTTGCTTGTGTTTTGGAGAAAAATGAATAAATAAATGTTTCATTTAGATGATGTGGCTGGTTTTCAATTGATATGAAACGGTCTGTTAGCTTGAAGTAACTATCGTGCATGTTGAAAGACACATACCCAGAGGTATAGTGTCTAGGGCGAAATGGTTGTACAAATGGTTTTGTTTCAGCGAACATCACATTTAAAAGGAGTGAAATGCATCATTGCATAAAAAAAAATCTTGCCTTGTCTTGTCCCCTCTTTTCATATTTATCTGCCATCCACGTTCCGGCATAGCAAAAGACATCTTTGCCCATTTTCGGCATGTTGACCACATTCAGAGGGCAACATATTTTTTTTCTCTCACCAAATCAGGCGAAAATTACTTGATGTGGCCTAACTACAAAGAAGCTTAAACTTCGAATAGGCTGCATCAACTTAAGATGGAGGCCGCTATTTCATGTAGGTCGATACATATGTGTATACGTATACGAACCACAGTAAATACCACATCAGACATCTTTGGAAATGTTTTATAAGAAGATAATGCAAGCGATCGTAATTCCTCAAAGGAAAGTCTAAATTACTAAATCAGAAGTGAGATACTTGTCTGTAACGGACGGTTTCAGTGCTACCACAACGCAGTTGGTATCTTGGCAGAGGAAAGTAAAAACAAGGTATAAACGTCTATAAAAACAGTTCAAAAGCCTATTAAAAAATTTCACTTCGCCATACGCAATGGCATTGGTACGTAATGCATTCTGCAACTGGTACATATGCGTGTGACTACTTAGCTTGAGCAACGAAGGTACTCTTAATTTTGGTAAGACAGTTAGCTAATCTATTCTAATTTCGTTACAGCTAGCTAAGATAAAATATGTATATATACATTTGTAAAACACAAATATCACAGACAGTATTCCTGGGAAAGTATTTAAACCCCAATAAAGTCAGACATCCCTAAGCTAGTTTAAGAGGCACTTCGTAAAATCTTTACAATGTAGCAAGCTCCACCCATCTCTGAACCAGCTTACTGTACACAGCTCCTAATCTCCAAGCAGATCTTTTGGTGGCTGCAAGGCAGTAAGGCACCCATTCCACTTAGTGGCGCTCTCACGGCGCTCTCTCTGCGACCTGAAATTGGCCAGAGCGCGGAGAGAGCGCCGAACGTCACGAAAAACGTGCTCAAGAGGAATATCTACGGAGACCTCTCTGCGCTCAAAAACTCAAATGCCAGCAACGTTATTTGGGCGATCAACTAATTCATAGCTCACTCAACGAATTACGGAGATACAGAACGAAATTTTGTACATTTTCTCTCTTTCAACGTCATTCTTGTACATCCTGCATCATATTTAGATTATTAAATCAAGGGTGCAAGGCCCACATTTCACTAGGATGCTCTCATCGCGCTCTCTCTGTGACATGACATTGGTCGGAGCGCATTAAATATACACTGGGATAGTGTGGTTTCAACTCAGTATGTAGATAAGTGACTAGAATATTGACTTTGAAAACTGAGGTTTCCAAGCCATAAAAACTGCATTGGATGCCTTTAGTCCTCTGCTTGCAGAGTACACATCTCCCAAGTTATGCTGTGTACTGGTTTGCTGGACCGGTTCCGGACTTCCGGACACTTTGTTTAGAAATGTGTAGGTTCAAGTCCAAAAAATAAAAGTCAAGAACCGATTCCGGACTTACAAAAAAAACATGTCACATACCCCTTTTCTTTCCAAACCATCTAAAACCTTCTATAGATTGCAAAATCTCAGTGCTGCAAAATGAAGAAAATATTGCCATGATCGGGCATCGTCAAGTACCGGCCTCCATGTTATGTGGCCAGAGTTTTGCCCAAACAACATTGTAAGTTTACCAACATGCAATTTTGTATATGCCATGGGTTTAGCTCCGGACTTACGAGTCCGGAACTGAACCTAAACATCTGGACTTGAATCCGGACCCTAAATGTGGGTTTAGGTACATAGCAGGGCACTACTCCCAAGTTCTTCCCTGTCAACCCAGAGCTGGTTAAACCATCACCTGACACATTTGCTGTGTCAACAGTATTCACACCCGTAACATACGCCATTTGGTGAGGAGATCATCTCAGTAAAATGGAGCACGTAAAAACCACGTCCACCGTAAAGGCCGGTATGTCATCCCCACCTCTGACCTTCATTACCCACTCGAACGACCCGGGAAATTGACACTATATTCTCGGGAAGCCCGAGGTGTGCTGTGTGTGTAAAATGTGAACCTAGTCATGAGGCCATGTTGATTTGATTATATGGATGACATCAGCGCGCGCATGAATTTTCGTCCGTTTCCAAAAAAAGAAAAAAAGTTTTCGACCATACTGTAAATCATACAAAGCAACTGCAAAATTAGCAAATATATGCCGCAAATTGCACAAAAATATTGGAGAACGAGACTAATGTCTTAGTATGATAAAATCGATTCCAAAGGAAAATAAGAAAATGTGAAGAAATGAAAATGAAGATTCTATTATTCGCCATACTCTTGTGTTTAGTCATTTGTTCAACCTTCATGACGACGTAGATTTCATAATGAAGGCAACTTTTTTTTGGCCAAACTTTTTTTATAAGCACGCTCGCATCAGTTTTCTGGTTCCCAGAGGATGTCATCCATATCATCAAATGGCCTAATTTAGGTTCAAGATATTACAGGCATCCAATGCAATTTCAGGGTGGCAAAACGAAAAGATTCTGTATGACCTGAAATCTGTCTGATATTGACATTTACTGTCATTTCTTGTCATCATTCCATAATTTTGAGTAATTTGAATACGTCGCACTGTTGTATGTAAATTGCTGTTTTATCAGTTAGACCGTGTTGATTTGATTATATGAATGACATCCTCTGGGAACCCCAAAACTGATGCGAGCGCGCGAATAAAAAAAAAGGTTTGCAAAAAAAAAGTTGCTTTCATGAAATCTACGTTGTTATGAAGGTCGAACAAATGACACAGGGTATGGTATGGCGAATAATCTACTCTTTAAATTCATTTCTTTGCATTTTAGTTTTTTGTTTGATTTTGGCATTCTACGACGTTGTAATCGTTTTCAAATTTTTTTTTTCAACTTACGGTATATATTTGCTCATTTTGCAACTGTTTTGTACAATTTACAGTGTGGTTGGAAACTTTTTTTTTGTGGAAACGGCCGAAAATTCATGCGCGCGCGGATGTCATCCATATAATCAAATCAACATGGCCTTACATGCATGTGTATAGAAAAGTTGTTAACAGTTTTGGTATGGGGAAAACCTGGGAAAACCGTGAAAAAAGTTATCAGTTTAGTCTTCATTGGCAATAATCTTAATTAGAATCGCGAAATAAAAACATTAACATGCATATATTTGATGGACAGGCAGCCACTCTTTCATTGGTCGAAACGCTAATTACCATTCTCTCATTGGTTTAACTGCTAATTGTGATGGACAGTCAGGATCGGTCTATTCCTAGGTCCCATGGGACAATGTTGCGTCACTGACAGAAAAACGCAGAAAAACACGTACCTGTCATGCCAAAGGCAAGGCCAGTCCATACAGCCTGGATTATTAAATTATCGTTCTGACCAATCAGAATCGACAGCACAGGTATGATGTAAAGGTAAAGATCTTATCTGAGACCTAACTAATCTATTCACCTTGATAGTCCATGGCAAAGTTGTCATTGTGATCTTGACTTCAGAAATGTTCCTGTTGGTTGTCACTGAAGCATTTTTTTCAACACAGGAAAAGTTTTGATAAGGCATTTTTAAGTCTTATTAAAACTTTTCCTGTGTGACTTAAAACTTATTGAAAAGTTAAAACTTATCTCATTTAAAAACTTATTTCATGCTTTGTCTATTTAGTTTTATTTCACCAATTCACATACAAAATAAATAATTACTAAGCACTTCAAAGCGTTATATTTTGACAAGGTGCCAAGTACATTCTATAGAAAGTAAGTTTTCTATGTAAGGCATTGGTTTTTCACCATTTTTCACCAGTATACACAGGAACCAACTTAGAGTAACTGTAACACACTGTCAAGACTTGATTGTTGTATGACGGTGTGACTTTTTAAGCCTTAATTAGACAGGTTTTAATCATGATTATCACCATGTTAGTTCAACATCTTACAATTCACTGGCCTGGTGTCATAATAGTTGGCACAAGCTGGCAGATTTTTCAGGTTTACAAATGTAAATGGGGCTGTAACTAAACATGTATGTGACATACATGTATACCCATGATTGCTGACCATAACCACTCCAGGGGATATAACCTCACTTCAGGTTTGTCTTGTTATGAAGAAAAACATATTGTTTTTGCTCAGTTTCTTCCTCTTCTTCTTCTCCAAACAGTGACCTCTGACCTGACCAATGACATGATTTGTTGACGTCTGTCACCATGGTGACTGGTGTTAAGGTTACATAATGTTGCAATGTCATGGTCTGCTCTGCTCCTGTCACCATATACTAGTAGTACATGTATGTGAATGTGTTTGAGTAAGAATTAACAGAGCGGACCATGTCTGAAGGTACATGTAAACATCATGCATTTGCTTTGCAAATGTTACTTATCTAGTTTAGTACGTTGAGTATCATGTGCTTTTCTTGCAAGAAATCACCTATTAGTACAGTCCATGACCATTGATGTAAGTATCATGAAAGGTCATGATGACCCCACTAGTAGTCATAGTTGTAGAAGACCATACAAAAGTCCCTGTACTCTTTGTTGAGTCAATAAAGAATCCGTATTGTCAGCACCAAAACACAATGAATTGGAGTTGGTTCTGTCGCAGTCTGTTTGAAAATTCCACCGCATCAAAATTGTATAACGACCTACGAGCAATTTCTCATGTTGGAAATTACAGTTTAAACTTGCTTTGTAATGACTTCTACCAACACAGATGAACTTTCAAGAGAAAAATGTTTGTTGCTAGGAAAGTGATCTCGATCCAGTTTTACCTCACTGAAGAGCTAATCTCCCACTGGTCGTAATAGAGAAGACACTGATGCCATGTACAGTACATACAGGTTCATTGTACTGGGGAAATAGCTAGTGTGTCAGCCTTTTTAGCTTTTGTCCACTCCCCATGATCCGCTACTGGCAACAACAGCTGGGATTCGAACTCCCAACCTCTCAGTCCAGAGGCAGGGTTGCTAATCACTGGACTATGCACAAACACTAAGGCCACACTGATTTGATTCTATGGATTACATTCCCACGTGCATTGATTTTCGCCTGTTCTCCCCCCAAAAAAATTACCTCTGACGAGGCTCTGGCCTGGGTGCCATCCCCCGTAGTCCATGGTAGCCAGTGACAATAGGGAGCCAGCAGTAACTACGGAGGACGGCACCCAGGCTGCCAAAGCTCCATGGAACTCAGTTCAGTGCAGACTCATAAATGCTGCAAAAGGCCGGCATGTGCCGGCTTGTCGTAAAAGTCGCTGTGTACTACCGCAAATTCACAATACCAGCTTCGCATTCCTGTGGTTTGGCAGCATTTTTTTTGCTGACCTGATTTTTTTTATTCGCCTGCACGCACTAGTTTGGGGGTCTTCAGAGGATGTCATCCATAGAATTACGTCAATGTGGCCTAAGACTTGATGGTGATGAGGTTCCTGAGCATGTCAAAGGTGTTCCCGTCTGGCTGGACGCTGACAATCTCGCCTCCGTTCTTCACCACGGACAGGAAGCCAGAGTCGTCCAGACCCAGGATAGTCGCCTCTGGGCCCTCCTCACTGCTCAGGTGTACCTTCTGTTCACTGCAACAATTAACAGGAAAAGAGAGAAACTTTAAGCTGCATAATTATAGAGTAGTATTGTACAAATGCTCTGAGGCCTTCACATGGAGTCTGGTGTTTACTTTTAAGCCGTACGAGATGTAAATTTCTAGTATCAAAGGTAAGGAGAGATACGATAACAGGTGAGGTAAAGAAAGTGATCTCGTACCAGTTTAGCTTATTGAAGAGCTACATGTAAGACAGACGCTATGTATTTACAGGTTCATTGTACCGGGGAAACTCCCCTAGCTCTTTGCAACAAGCACAATGAACAGCTGCCTTACATGTGAAGCCACCTGTTGTAGTATCTCTGTAAGAACAGCTGCCTTACCTGTGAAGCCACCTGTTGTAGTATCTCTGTAAGAACAGCTGCCTTACATGTGAAGCCACCTGTTGTAGTATCTCTGTAAGAACAGCTGCCTTACCTGTGAAGCCACCTGTTGTAGTATCTCTGTAAGAACAGCTGCCTTACCTGTGAAGCCACCTGTTGTAGTACCTCTGTAAGAACAGCTGTCTTCCCTGTGAAGCCACCTGTTGTAGTACCTCTGTAAGAACAGCTTTCTTCCCTGTGAAGCCACCTGTTGTAGTACCTCTGCAAGAACAGCTGCCTTACCTGTGAAGCCACCTGTTGTAGTACCTCTGTAAGAACAGCTGTCTTACATGTGAAGCCACCTGTTATAGTATCTCTGTAAGAACAGCTGTCTTACATGTACCTGAGAAGCCACCTGTTATAGTACCTCTGTAAGAACAGCTGCCTTACATGTGAAGCCACCTGTTATAGTACCTCTGTAAGAACAGCTGCCTTACCTGTGAAGCCACCTGCTGTAGTACCTCTGTAGGAACAGCTGCCTTACATGTACCTGTGAAGCCACCTGTTGTAGTACAATGTATCTCTGTAAGAACAGCTGCCTTACATGTGAAGCCACCTGTTATAGTATCTCTGTCAGAACTGTCTTCCATGTGAAGCCACCTGTTATAGTATCTCTGAAGCCACCTGTTGTAGTATCTCAAGAACAGCTGTCTTACCTGTGAAGCCACCTGCTGTAATATCTCTGTAAGAATGAATCACTGCCATTCTCCTGGAACTCTTGTATGATCTCCTCCGTGATTGTTACTGCGTGTGCGATGAGCTCCTCAGTAGTAAACTCTGGTAGGCTTGTGTTGTGGAGTTTGTTGTGTTGTTTCACCAGGTCATTGATACAGATGGTGGGGTTGCTGTTACTCACATTGAAGCCACATCCTGGAAAAATATAAAAAAATCATTACTAATTTGGAGGTATAAAAAATTAATAATCAATAATTGTTAATCTTTTGGTAAGTGTTTCTTATTCTCAACTTTTTCCCTTGACAGGCTGTCAAAATGGTTCCTAAAAACAGTTCTTGTCAATGACACCCAAAGTGATTTCAGGGATTTCAATAAAACTTGATTTTCAAAGTCAATTAACTGGTCATGTTTAGATGTATTGAGTTGAATCCTATCCCATATAGCATACTCACATTAATTTTTTTCAATTTGTTAGGAAAAAATGCAGCGTCACTGACTGAAAACAGTTACTTGTTTTGAAACTGTTTCTAAACTTCTTTGAAACTGTTTCTAAAGACTGGTTCTAGCAATTTATTGGTGGTACCAAAAATAAAGGGCTTCTTCTGGAGCTATTTCAAACACTTCAAGTATGAAATGGTGACGAAAATGTGCTAAGAAATGGTGGTGAATGTCAGTATCAGACAGATTTCCTCATTCAGAATATTATTTTTTACTGTAATCCTTAAAGACCAAATGACATTTTATTTTTGCTTTTCTGTGCTTGTTCCTGAGCTGACATCACTGGATGACATCAGCTCAGGAAAAAATACAGATATGCAAAAATAAAATGTAGAGATGGAAATCGCCCGCCAGTACTGGCATGTGCTGACTTTTCCAAGGTAGGGCATTAGAATTTCGAATGTAACAGGAGAACCGTGCATATCTATTGTAAATGTGTCTGTTAGCCAGGTAATACTAGTTATGTCAATTACAATCAGCTTAAGTTATATTTTGGTGTCATGAGCACTTTAAACAAACTGCATGCCTTTAAAAATACACAGCCTGAGAAAGTCCAAAGTTTGGGCTTCACAAACCACCTGTTACTAGTACATGTATCTACCATCCGTCGACGTCAGACTGGTAACCAGACACCAGACATACTTAACAATGGTGCTGCACAATTTATTTTGTCTGCCAAGCCTGGGATGGAGCTGCCAGATGTTAGCTTGTGATGAAAGCTTCTACACTCAGGGCTCAAAATACATTTTTCTGCATAAGTGCAGATAACAGTTGAACACTGGTGCAGGTAATTTTCAACGTTACCTACACCAGACAAATTTTACCTGCACCACTCAGGATTTAGGAACCATGGATCATACTAAAACTGTTCGGAAACCATTGCCATTAGTTCTTTTATTAAAAAAATATACTTCATAGGTGGTAACTAAAGAGTCAATGCAGTAAATGAAAATCCACATACACCCAGTACACGTTATTATAAACCCAGTACTTGGACTAGTGCAGGTTAGGTGCAGGTAGACATCAGAAATACCTGCACAGCTCCAATTTTCCCTGTACTAACTTGCATATACCCAGTACATGGACCAGTGCAGGTTAGGTGCAGGTAGACATCAGAAATACCTGCACAGCTCCAATTTTCCCTGCACTAACCTGCATATACCCAGTACATGGACCAGTGCAGGTTAGGTGCAGGTAGACATCAGAAATACCTGCACAGCTCCAATTTTACCTACGCTAACCTGCATATACCCAGTACATGGACCAGTGCAGGTTAGGTGCAGGTAGACATCAGAAATACCTGCACAGCTCCAATTTTACCTGTACTAACTTTCATACACGCATGTAGGGCGTATTTCCAGCCCTGTTACTATACTGTCATGTCAAAGATGGATATATATTTACCCTGGATGGGTTAACCAGGGGGATATGGGAAGGCTTTATGTGACATGAAGGATGACAGTGACAAGACAAATAATCAGAGAGCAGGAACTAGAGCTGTGGAAGTGACTGTTGGAAACTATTTTGAGCTGTTAATTACAGTAAGGTAACAATAGTAAACATGGCGTTCTGAAATAGAATACTTGTTTTTGTAGTGATGGGGTGATCTGATGTTTTAGAGTACTCTCGATCTCTGACCAGAGGTTTAGGCTATACCTTTGTCAGAAGGTTATAATATGTGTTTAGGTACAACATATATGGATGTTGCTGATATTGTAATCAGTTATAACTTGGGATGTGGTGCATGTATCTTTATGATATTTGGTAGGTAGGATGAGGTTGGGAAAAGGAAGGTCAAGGTCAATTTTGGGTACTCTAGCGGTTTTGTAAGGTACTGCAGCAAGGTACATGGGCATGATATCTCTGGTGATGGTGCTGTAGACATGCTATGGTCTTGATTTATTATTATAATAAATTTATTAACTCTTTCCCAAATGCTGAGTGCTAAGCAGAGAAGGCTGTATGTACCATTTTTAAAGTCCTTGGTATGACTCGGCCGGGGTTCGAACTCACAACCTACCAAATGCAAATTGCACATACCAGGGTAATATAATCTACACTAAAATTTTCTATAAGGTAACAATCTATGTATTTCAGATATTATGGTAACTACAAAGAACGTACGTTTGCATAAAGAGATGACAAAATGACAATTGTAAAAATGTGGTGGTAACTAAAGGTCTTTGAACTTCGTACCATAAAAAATGTATCTACATCCTTGGAGTTGGAGAACAGAGGGTCCGTTTGTTGAAAAGGTCTACTTTAATTACATTCCAAGATGACAGGATGTGCAGAGGAAGAGGATACTAAAACACCACCTGTCATCTTTTATGCTTATGTTTAAAACAGAGACATGTTTTAATGTTATTAATAAGCCATAGACGTCAGTGGAAAGAGTCATAGAGAGTTCACGAGTTCCTAAAGTGCCTCGGACTGTTTACTCTAAACAACGTCTCAGACAACATTTCCCCTTCGGCTGTGGTTAACTCTGAAGGCTGTTTAGGAAGATCTAATTATCTTTTGTTTACTTGACATTTTGAAAGGGAATACTGTAACAGAGAAAGATAGAGAGATAACAAGCAAAGTGTAGTGTACTTGTAGTATTATCAGGCATCTGCATCTGTATCTGTATAGCCGGTATAACCGCCCTTCGGCATAACACACCAGCTTTGCAGGCATGCGGCGGCAGCTAGCTATATTACACCGAGCGACTTGTTACACCTAACCCTTGAACATCTAACTCTAGACATTGTTTAAAGCTATCTAATGACAATGCCCCTACTGTACTTGGTGATAGCGAGTTCCACTCTGTGATAGTCCTAGGAAAGAATGAATTCTTGAACACCTCGATCCTTGGTTGATAACTCTGGTACAACAGGAAGAAAGTTGGGTCACAGGCAGAACTAAGTGAAACGTTAAGGAGCAAAAGAGGTGGAAAAAACTGGTTGTCAGATCATCTGTGGTGCCCCAAAAGTCGAATACTGTAATTCACTTTATGTTTGCGATAACAAAAGTTTGCAGTCTGAGAAAAATGGAGGTGTTCATGGAACTATGGTGTAGGCAGTTGCAGAAAAAGAAAGTCAGCATATAAACGTTAAGGCCACACCAATTTAATTTCTTGGTTAACGGATTTGCCGCTTCATTTTTTCTGATTTGCAAGAAAAATAAAAATTCAGAATCAACTGCAAAATGCTCATATTTTGCCCTGAACAGTTGAAAACTGTCCTTTTCTTACTACTTGTTACAGTCATTCCATCTTTCAATGCAATGGTATCATTAAAAGTTCAAAATTCATTGTTTGAACCAGCCTGGTGTGTTGACTTCATGGCTCCTATCATACCATTATATGGGTCATAATAGGATGCCTAGGCCTGTTTTATTTTTATTTTATTTATTTATTTTTTTTCGCCCGCCCATCCATTATTCTTCTAGAAAAATCCGTTAACCAAGAAATCAAACTGGTGTGGCCTAATGATACAAAATGTAAGTTTGTGGTACAGAAGTGACCACGAAAACTGCAAACATAAAAGTACCAGAAAAAAAGAGGACTTACAGTAATTAAGACTAAGAGATAGATGAGATGATTATAACAATGGCACTATTCATAGAGCCCACCCACTCACCTTTGGAGTACCCTACAGTAACTGTTGTACTACACTGTAGATACAAATGTATACTGTGGCCATAACAGCTCCCATATTGGTATATAAACTATAGGTTGTAAAGAAAATTGCCCGTGGCAGGTAACTAGTGCAGTATTTGTTTATGTAAGGATCATTGCTAGGTCAGTATACACATGTATGTTAGGGTAGTGACATTGCGATCTGACAGAATTGCCGATTCTACTGGACCAGTAGAGATCCCATAGAGATCCCGATGGTAGAGATTCTCTAGAGATCCAGATCGATCGGAGTCACTTTCAACATTGTAGATCACAATCAGAATGCTAGGAATGTGTAAAGGTGGTTTTCTGACTTATAAATTCAGAGTATCAAGTCAGTCCATTGATCTATAATGACATAAATCAAAATTGAAAGGTTCTGACTGTCTTTTGGTAAATACTAATAAAATATCTTAAAATTTACAAACTCCAAGTAGGGTCTGTCCCTGAAAAATAACTAATTGTCCCAGAATGGAGTTTCTACCCTGACACACGTATGGAAGCACTATAAATTTTGCAAAAGAGGCAAAAACCGGAGACTGTATTTTGATATATTTGGTAATATTTTTTCATGTTTGATGTACATGTAGTTTTGGACAGCTAGTTTAAAAATAACAGTTCTATGTTTTTTGGACAGTTTAAAAGTAACAGTTCTGCATACTTTTGCACAGTTCATGTCCTGTGTATTTTGGGACAGTTTGGAAAAAGCAGTTTATGTGCTAAAACTGAGTGTTCAAGAAGGGACAATGTTTGACAAAGAATAACAGTGACAACATGCCATGATGAGGCACTACAACACTATCACATAAAAGCAACAATGCTAAATTGGTCATTACAAGGATTGTCAAATCCTTCAACAGAGTCTCATAATAAGTGTCACTAGGACAAAGGTGTAAGGTATCCTGTATCTTGACACCTAAGACATACACATGCTCCAAGATGTTCACATTCTTGTGCTGACAGGCCATCAACAGATAACTCATCATAGGAACTCCCAAGGAATTTCCCTGACAAGGTGTTAAGATGGTAAACAAGATAGTATCCATTCAGATAAGACAAGCTGCTCCGATGTAATACTTAGAAGGCCTGTCATGTCAGGGAGAGGACAAAATCACTAGAAGGTGAAGATAAGGTTGGGTTGAGCTGATAAGGGGCCATGTGTTATAGAGGGTGTGTGGAAGAGTAGATGGATGGGTAAAAGGAGGGGGGCTGAGATAAAATGGTCAATGAATCAATTAATCAATCAATATATCAATCAATCAATCTGTACTATTGTGTAGCAATGCAAAAGATACACAAATGTACAAATGTATGGCTGAGTTCTAAATACCACCAGCATATGCAGGTTAGTGCAGGTACAATGTATTTCTGATGTCTACATGTACATTATATGATTGTACCTGCACCTAACCTGTACTGGTCCATGCACTAGGTTATATACATGTAACGTTACATGTATATGCATGTAGGTGTGTGTGAATTTTTATTTAATGCATTGACTGTTACCACCTATGAAGTTTAATGTATAAAAAAAATAATGGCAATGGTTTCGGAACATATTTTAGTACATGTATGATCCATATTTCTTAAATTCTGAGTGATACAAGTAAACTTTGTCTAGTGCAGGTATACAGAAAAACATGAATTCAAGCCCTGTATGAAAACAACAAGAAGCTATAGGCAAATTTAATGATTCACATTTACTTCTTATTTCTTTAAATTTTTTTCACTTATGATATGCCAAATAAAAAATACCTTTGAAATCTACAGAATCTTTAAAATCTATAACTGTCATTAATAATACCAATATAGCAAATTTTTTTCCCTGTAACTTTAGACAACACAACATAATACAACAAGAAGAAATGAAAAGTTGACAATGTCCTCACCAATAAAAGCACTACAGTTGTTCCCCACTATGCTGGAGTTGACAATGACTCCTCCCAGCTTCATACTGTCTCCATAGTAGATGTCATTGGGCCACTTCAGCCGCAGGTCAATGTCCTGTAGGTCAAATATTTAGTCAGGAGAAAAATTAAACTCTTACCGGTAATAAGCAAAATGAACAACTGTTGTCTACTTGTGTTAAACATTTAAACTGCATTATTAGTTAGGCCATGTTGATTTGATTATAATTATGGATGACATCCTCTGGGAATCCCAAAACTGATGCGAGCATGTGAATAAAAGAAAAAGTTTTGCAAAAAAAAGTTTTTTTCATTATGAAATCTATGTGGTCATAAAGGTTGAACAAATGACTAAACACACAGAGTTTGGTGTGGCAAATAATAATAGACTCTTCATTTCTTCACATTTTTTTCTTTTCCTGAATTGATTTCGGCATTCTATACATTAGTATCGTTTTTATATAATACTTTTTTTGCAACATATGACATGTACATGTATTTGCTCATTTTGTACGATTTACAGTGTGCGCACGCGAATGTCATCCATATAATCAAATCAACATGGTCTTATAATGATCAAGAAAGTCAAGGGCAAACTAAGTTCATTTAAGCAAAAGAAATATTCTTCTACTACAAACTCTACTACGATATGAATACAAATGTATACAAAATAATTTTAAATTTTTTTAGTATGATCCATACTTCTGAAATTCTGAGTGGTGCAGGTAAAATTTTTCTGGTGCAGCTAATTTTCAATGTTACCTGCACCAGTGCACGTATGCAAAAAAAAAGTATTTCCAGCCAATTTCAAGAATGTATACTATAGCCTGACCGTATCCATAATACTATATCAGGGTGCGCCTAACTCATGAGTTCCACAGAGTACTACTGTGTGATTCAGGTCAGTCTCCCATTATTTCCTGATGGCAAACCAATAGCTTCAGCTGGAAGGGTTTGGGGAAACTTGCCGGTGAACCGGGAAGGCCTTGAAAAGTGCTCTGCGGGTAGCGGCATCTTTCAACCTGGTCCCTGATAGAAAAGCCACATTAAAACCACATCAACCCAGAGCCTTCCTGCTAGTAACAGCCATGTGGACAAATAAACCAGTGGTAATTTCTCCCTAAGAACATTCGGCTAGGGTTCCTAACCTTTCTGGCAAAACATACCCTGACATTTAGGATCTCTAAGTCTAGTCAACGGCATGTTCAGCACATGTATAAGACTGGAAAGTGATCTTGATCCAGTTTTAACTCACTGAAGAGCTAATCTTCCACTGGTCGTGACCGAGAAGACAGACGCTATGTACATTGTACATTATTTACAGGTTCATTGTACCAGGGAAATTCCTCTAGCTCTTTTCAACAAGCACAACTAACAGTGGACCACAGCTTGAAGGCATTCAATGCAGTTTTTTTAGTTTTTTCTTTAGTTTTTTTCAAGCCAAATATTCTAGTCACTTATCTACATACTGAGTTGAAACCACACTATCCAAATGTATATTGACCCACATGGAGCAACAATACCCAAAATTCTGACAGAAAATGGTTGAAATGGAAGGGCCCTGGGTTGATTTTTAGGGTACCATCCATAAAACAAAGGACTCATCTTGTGGCTTGTTTCTGCAGTTTTAAAAGCCCAAAGTATGAACTACTGATTGAAATGTACTAATGTGAAGCAGTATTCGTCAATATCGCAAAGATTGCCTTATTCAGAATATTTCCAGTTTTGCTGCTCTGAAATCGCATTGGATGCTTTTAGCATCTCGTCCAAAGGACTGCGACACTTTACAGTACGAACAACCTATCATTAGCTACTGCGTAGTCTACTTGACGAGCATGCACGAAAACTACAGCTAAAATTCTCTGACAGAACATATGACTGTAACACGACACCTGAATGTTCCTATAGCCTGCTGTGATGTTTCACCAGAGATATGTTTGTTTGTGTAGAATTCAGAGGTACTCATCCCTAAACTAAGAAACACTGAAAGGTACAAGGTACCAACATCTGGAAGGTCTAAATACCTCATCCAGTCAGCACAAAGGACTCTTTTTCCCCATTGCAGTTACTGGTTAAAACATGTACCTTGAAGTTAGTAGCTTCAAAAGTCACATGTTTTACATGTAGTATGTGTAGTATCTTTGTGTATCTTGGTTTTCTTGTAGTTTTTATCCAGGAGGACCTGAAAATATTTGTCACAGTAGCTGAGATGTAACAGGGCTCGAAATTAATGGTGTCTCAATGACCAGTGACCACTAAAATTTAGGCCAGGACAACTAAAAAAAGACACTTTGGGACAATTTTTGAGACAATAGAAAAATTATCAACATCAGAATGACTTCAAATAAGTTATACAATACTTTCCAAAAAAAAGGTACAGTTCATCCTCACTTTGGGACAATTGAAATTTCTTTTCGGTACAGTGCTGGGACAATAGGAAGAATTTCGAGGCCTGTGTAATAAAGTATTTGCCTGGCTAAACTATGAACTGAAACTGAATCCACCTGTCCTATAATCACTGGGAAATTCAGTATCAGATGGAAAAGTGGGGGGTAAGTTGGGTCTTAACATACACATTTGTAGAGGGAACGTAAGAATCTTGGTCAAGGTTTTCATCACTAAATCACATATCTGAAGTGTGGGGGTGATAGTACCCCTCCACAAGGCCAGCAGTGGTGTGGATTGATGGCACTACTGAAACAAACTGTCAAAAAAGCAGCATGGCCTGATGGGAAAACCAAACACCCTCCCTTGTAAGGCCACAGCAAGTAACTTTTATGGATGACATCAGTGCACGCATCAATTTTCACCTGACTTTGGGGGAAAAAAAAGAAATTTTGTTGCCTTCTAACAGTGGTCAACATGCTGAAAATGGGCAAAGATGTCCGTTGCCATGCCGGAACGTGGATGGCAGATAACTATGAGAGAGGAGAGCAAGAAAGGGCTCTGATTTAATGTTTTGTTTCTCACTTTGATGCAGTGATATGTGATGGTGGCTGTGTATATGTGATGTTCCCACTGAATCAAAACCATTTGTACAATGATTGAGTCAAAATTTCAAAATGTAGGAACCTTGCTTTTTTTTCGCCCTCTCGCATTAGATTTGGAGTCTGCGGAGGATGTCATCCATAAAACTTACTTGCTGTGGCCTAATCTTCCAACCCAAGGCCTGGCAAAGGTTTAAAGGTCAAGGACCCTCCAACAGACAGAGCCTACATGATTGGAAAACCAAACACGGTGACCTCTCGACTGAACTCAGTCTGGAAGAGGTTAGGAGGTTAACTTTAACTCAGAAAAACACCACTGTCACCTTCTAAATCCTACCTTGTCATCTTATTAATAGAAACCGGTGCATGGTTACAAGGTGTGAACTATTAATTTGTAATCAGAAGAGTTCTTGTGGGAACGTGGGACAATATACATTGTAAGTTCTCTCCTAAAGGGAAACTTGAATCTTGGGTCGTTTGGTTTTATGGGGGACGGTTAGGTAGAACAAATATTGTTGCGAGGAAGTTGCTGGAAGTCATTTATTTTGGGCTGTCCATGAAGTTAGAATTTATGTTCTGTCTTGAGCAGTGCATCTGGAAATATAAGGGTTGGTGATGTTTCAATGCTGAACTTTTTTTGTAGACCCTGGACTTTTTTCCTTTCATTCTAACCAATTTCCTTAATTCTAGTTGCATTCTAGCATGTATAGCAGCGACCATTTTCTTATCTTAAATCCAAACCTCTACTAGTGACCACCCCTGCATAATTGCAAGGACAATCGGCTGGCCATTCATGGCAACTTTTTGGTGGTCTGTTAGATCATTTTTCCCATTGACACAAGCATTAAGAATCCTGTTTATAGTGACCACCTGTCTACCTGTGATGAGACAAACTCAACATGTTGACTTGTTCATAGTCTTGTACATTTATCCATGTGTTTGTCCGTATGTTGGTTTTAGACCTTTATTAGGCCTAGGAAAAAAGTGTTCCCTGTTTCATGTCCTGAAAAAAATAGGGTTGGTAGTTTTTGAAGACTTTGACTCCAACTTATAGAATTAAAGCTTGCATGAAGACACTTTCAATATTTTCAGTGTCAACGTTGGAAAACATTTGTGCAACATTTTATCAGACAGGTGTCAGAACATGGAGCTAAAAAAGGTTGATCAGCTCGAAAAATTTATGTCCCTTGCAGGGGTCTACACAAAAAAAGGCTAGGGTTGGCAGTTTTTGGTAGGTCTGTTGGGAAACAGGAAACACAACATTTTTTCCATAGGCCTTATGAAAGTCACTGTACTTTTGTTGTGTCAATTTTGATTTTAATTAAACTTAAAAGTATCTATAATCATTATGTAAAATGGGAGCCATTTGGAAGGCTGTATACATGTACATGTACATGCACATGTAGATGTACAGCATGTTCTACTGACCTGATAGCCAGGTAGTGTCCTGACACTGTCCACCACAGCCAGGGACATGATGTGCTGTATGAAGGGCAGTCTGTGTCCCAGTTCTGACTGGAGAGGGATCCGTACATGTAGGGTGAACATGGCACAACCCAGCGGACTCAGCCATACATTTCCACCTCGACCTGGGGAGGGGGGGCAGAAACTTATTAGGCATTATTACAGTCTTACAAGTAGCCTGGATGCCAGACCCACTGCACACTGGGCCCAACGTTATCCAGTGTGCGGGGGTCTGGTTTGATGAGATAGCTGGGTATCTTTGTGCCTCATGTACTATGGGTCTGGCTTCCAGGCTAACAAGCAAGCAGAATTTTTTTTCTAACATCAAAATCAAGCTGAAACAGACCAAATTTCCGTACGTGTGTTCATCCCAAAATTATACAACTAATTGCTGTTTCAGATAATTTGACATAGCTATTTTCAGTAAAGACGTGTCTTATTTAAAAGATTAAGATATTTTTTAACAATACTGTGAACCAACCTTGGCCACTGGTCTGCCTGTGAGCAATTGCTATCAACCCTGTGTCCTCTGGAACACAACTGGACAATCTACCATGGAAAACATCATATGGTGTATGTACAAATGTATCACAATCATTATAAAAATAAATCAGCAATTACAAGAACACAGCATTTATACATTTACAACTTTCAAGGAATTTTTTTCAACCATTGGCAAACAAATGGATTACACAGAAAATAATTGTTTTGCCATTTGTACATCACTCACACTCACTCACTCACTCACTCACTCACTCACTCATCACTCACTCACTCACATGTAAAAAACAAAAAAGTTGAAACATACACTATAGTTACAGTAGTCATCGCAAACTTTAAAAGATAAGAAAAACCTTGAACATCTAGATGCAAGGACCTTAAATTATTAACCCCCTTGCTAGATGTTAATGAAAAACTCAAAGAAAGTATTTTTTCATCGTTCCTTCTTTGACTGAGTAAATAGTTTGATTATCAGGACTTAATTACCTATCCAGTACTGTCATTGTGGTTGGTATGACCTCTGTGTAGAGGACGACCTTTCCCAGAGTTCCAGTCTGCAGGTTCTCCTGGTACACCTGCCAGTTGAAACTCTCAGCAGCGCCCCCTACCAAGACTGGCAGCTCCTCTGGCGTTGCAGCATTGGCCTCTGTGTCCCCATCCACAAACAACAGGCTCACTTTGCCTCCTCTTAGGGCATTATTCTCATCAAGATGGGAGGAGATGGCTTGAACAACAGTGTCTTGTAAGGCCTGGGACAAAAAAACAACAGAGGTAAACTAGAAAGGTAATATTTGCAAAGCATAATGTTCATCTTTGCATATAGTCCGCTCTGTTAATTCTTACTCAAACACATTCATATTATTATATATTGTCAGACAGGAATCTAAATCCCTCCTGCTATAAAATTGCAACATGATGTAACCCAACTTACCATGGTAACAGACAGTCTGGTTCAGGTCATTGACCTTTTTGGTTTGGAGAAGAAGTCTTAGAAGAAGACGAAACGTAGCAAAAACAATATGTTTTCCTTTGGTAAACATAATTATGAGATGAAAAATTATAACATGTTCAAATTTTTATTGTTCAAAACACCAGTCAAACTCCAGAGTTTGGCAAGTCTGTTCTATGTTGTGCTGTTAGAAAAGTTCATCTTCCTACATGTATCAAGGGATGTATACATGTAAGTATAACCTTCTTCCTAAGTTCCTATACATGTACATTGATGAAATTGATGAAAGAAATCCATTGCAGTTTTGTTAGCAATTGGTACTAATATGTTGATGAAGGGGCATGTACATACATATGACTATTGTGCACTACATGACATGTACATGTGCATATCTACATCATAACATGTACAATGTACATATATATTGTGTAACATACAATTCTCTTGTTCCTTTACAAAAAATACACGAACTATTTCTTCATATGAATCAACCAAGCAGAAATGTGCATATACAATGTACATTATACAGTTACTCCTGAATCATATTGATTTTGCTGAGGAGGTTGAATAAGAAACCTTCATGATCTTACAAATCAGATCTAAATCAGTGCAAATACAAAAACTGGTGATTTACTAAGACTCAGTCTGCATTTGTCTATTGTAGAGACAAATTGTGTAGCAGAGAGAAGAGTTACTAGTACTTACATCTTCTGTCACTAGTAGCTGTGCGGGGGTGAGGGCTGTCTGGGTACCCTGGGAACAAGTCATGCCCAGGGTAGTCAGCAGGTCCTGTAACACCTGGTACCTCTGTGGGTTGGACTTCTTCAGCTGGGTGAACATCTCTGTACCTTTTACATCATCTTCTGTAGGACTCATCTCTAAATGTACCTGGGCGTAGTAGGTAAAGGTTTAAAGCTGTATTATGTACATGTGTAATATTATGGACAATACAAAAAGTTTTCTGGTCATTTTTTTCAAAAGTAAGTTGAATCAACCCTACTTCATTGCAAGTAACTGTCACACAGGGAGTGATTGTGCCAAAATATGATGCCTTTCAAGTGTGTTTAATAGCTAAAAACATAAAAATTAGGCAAGCACATTTTAACACTACAGGTACAACTTACAGTAAGAGGGTCAATGTATTACATGTTAGTAAACACATTATTGTATCTATTACATATAATATCTTATCTGTGTTGCTGTGTCGAATTAAAAATCAGGTGACATTTTTAAACACTTGGCTGACACGGCTGAGTAGCTAAGTTTGACAAACACTAGCCAACTTTGCGCCAACCTACATGTACATTGTACTCCTAATAATGATTCGGCTAGTGTTCAGGAAGCCAAATTCATGAATGTGTGACAGGGGCTTTTAGTAAATGTCTACTACGTGTGTTGTACCTGTGACAGAATAGCCCTTCCACCCTTGTACCCAGCATAGGCGTGTAAAATCACCGGCTGGTTCCCACTCTTCATGGTCCCAATGACCTTGAACGCCGTGCTGCCCTGGTGGGCCTTCAGCCGCGGCGTGTAGCACCGTCCCGTCACGTACACCTTCAGTTCCGTGGCCGCGCCCTCCAGCGGCCGGTACACCATGCTGTGTACGCCGACTTCCCCTGATAAGAACGGTAGCGGCTGAACGTCCAGTCCCATATTAAAATGCGAGCAGAAGCTGAGAAGCCTTCCCCCATCCTCGACAAACTTCTCAAACTTCTGGTTCACCGAATCCTCAAACTGTTCCTGTGTTGCTGCTACAAGTAGGATGGTGTTTTCAGCCCATGGATGGCTTAGAACCTGGTCATGTTTTAACCTGTAGATAATGTAATGATCAGGTCCAAGGCACTGCTGCAAAAACTCCCTCACTTGCTCAAACTTGTTGCGCTCAGTTTGGCTGTCCTTGCTCCCCGTGTAGACCAAAATATTCGGAGGCTTGGCCTGAAGTTTCGTCAACATTTCCGGGGAGTCCCGCTCGTCAAATTCTGCGCTCATGGTGTCCTGTAGACTCCCGTCGTCCACTTGTCCTGAGTTTTGTACACTTCGGACTTTGGGTGTATCCCCGCACGATAATTGACCCTCAACCTCTGTGCTTTCTTCCCGCAACTGTTGGCGATTCGGCAGATCTAAACGTAAACCTCCTAACTCCTTATTGTTGTCCCCACTGTTATTTTGTCCCGGTGACTTGAGTTTCCGCGAATACAGAGACAAGAGATCCTGTGAGTTTCCAGAGGTGTCCACGGCTGTAGGAACAAAGGAGAGAACATACCTGTGGTCACCTTTGTACCTGTGATGATTAGAGTTTGTACTATGTGCACACAACGGCAATGACAATAGAACAAACACGCTCTTCAGTTCAGTTACTGTAGGCATGCAATAAAATGGGTGTGGCTATTTGTACACGGTAGATAAATGGTCTATAATGATGACTAATGGGGCATGTCCCCATTCAGGACATCACAAAGCATCTTTTTGATGTGATGTCTTTGGATAGCAAAACATGATACAAGTATTATTATGCTGGGTCCAAATGGTCCATAATATGCAAATGCAGCCAACAATATTTTTCTAGGAAGTTTTGTTTCCTGTTTCCCAACTGACCCCAGAAAAACCTGCCGACCCTAGAATTTTTTTGAGGGGTGGACCCCTGCAAGGGACATAAAAATTAATATTTTGAGCTGATCAACCTTTTCTAGCTCCATGATCTGATACCTGAGTGATGAAATGTTGTACAATTGGTTTTCTAACATTGACATTGAAAATAAAAGTGTCCTCTTTGCAAGTTTTACTTTGTTAAACTGTACTGTATAAGTTGGACCCCCTATATACATAGATATCACTGAAGTGACAAAAAGAAACAAACAAAAAGATAATCCCTACCTACCGACCTTAATATGGTGCACCCAAAAAATGTTTGTGTACCCAATTCTTTAGGCCACACCAATTTAATCTGTTGCTTCTCGGATCACCCTGTCCATCTTTTTCTGATTTGCAAAAAAAATAAAAAATTTTTTTGGTTCTAAATTAACTGCTCAATGAAAGACATATTTTGGCCCCAACGGTTGAAAAAAGTCCTTTTCTTCCTAGTTCTTAAGTTTTTCAATGTAACAATGCAATTTTGTTTCATTAAAAGTTCAAAATCTATTGTTTTAAATATAAGCCAGCCAGGTATGTTTACTTCATGGCTCATATTGTAACATTTCTGGCTACCATGGGGTGCCTTGGCCTGTTTTTTTTTTTTTTTCGTCCCTAGCTGTCGCTCCTGATTTTTTCTGAAAAAATCAGAGAAACAACAAATTAAATTGGTGTGGCCTTACGGTTGGGTGTTCCCAAAAATGAATTTCGAGCCATGATTATTGATACTTACAGATCATTTGCACAGCCTCCATGCCATCGTCCAGTTTGAGCCTGCTGTCCATGAAGGCCAGTCCTAACTCTCCCAGTCCTTCCACATCTGTGGACACCAACAGGCCGTAAGGGTCTCCTGACCTCCAGGCCAGGGGCTCCGACAGGCGCGTCAGGGGAACAGACTGCAATTGAAAGAGTAAAAATTTACTTTCATACAGAAGACGGAGCTGTATACCTGTTTGTCCAGAGTAGGTTGACATCACATGGGGGGAAGAATGACAGGAGGTCAATCTGCCGGAATCTGCTGGAATAAGTGGTTGACATGGGGGAATTCAGGAGGTCAAGGACTGCAATTGCCAAATTTCCTGGAAGTCAACAAGTTTTTCAAGGAGTTTGCTCAATTCAAGGCCAAAAGACTACTTCTGGTCATCACTGAACTATACTAAATCTTTATGGTAGTAAGGCCACACAAATCTACTTTATTTATTTATTTATTGAAAATGCAACAAGACATTACACTGACTCTCAAGGCAGCAAAGCTGATGTTAGAGAGTCAACACATAAGGACAAAACATATAGGGCACATAATATCAACAGTGTGAAATTACAAAAAAAATGATCATAAGAACCTATATCATTCCAATTAGCCGAGTAAATATATGTACACATCTAAAATAACACATTTGGAGGTCAGAGGTCGATAAAATAAGTCACAGTCAGACTACCTTATATGATAAAAAAAAAAGGATACTAAATAACAAGGTTAGAAAGGAACAGCTGGAAGTGCCTAGAAACGGTTTGTTGAAGTGATGTAAGTGTGGAAGGAGTGTGAGAGACTTTCGTTTAATGTGATGTCACAAATCTACTTTGTTGTTTCTCGGATTCGCCGTCCATTTCTTTCTGATTTGAAAAAAAATTTTTTGGGGGTTCTAAATCAACTGTAAAATGCTCAATGAAAGACATATTTTGGCCCCGACGGTTGACAAAAGTCCTTTTCTTTCTATTGTAACAATGCAATTTTGTTTCATTAAAAGTTCAAAATCTATTGTTTTAATTATAAACCAGCCTGGTATGCTCACTTCATGGCTCATATTGTAACATTTCACACACTGGAATTAACAGGTGGTCCAACATAAAATGTGGAGAGGTTCACCACTGAAGTTCATCTCTTCCACCACACCTGTGACAAGGGCAGCTCCTCACCCTTCCCATCATCCTCTCTGGCAGGAAGTGTTGCCTCCAGCAGCAGCAGCACCTGACCTGACCTGACCCGGGTCGTCGGGGTCAACGGCCTCGCTGAACCAATGAATGACGTCCATTCATCCAGGTCCACTTTGGGCTGGGGTAAAATCAACAAAAAACTGTAATTTTTTTTCATTTGCACATATCCTAAAACAACAGAGAAAGCAGTTCCAAAACAAGTTGCTAGGGGGTCTAAAGCTACATGTATGTCACTTATTTTCTGTTCCAAGGGCTCTCTGCCAACAAAAAATCGTGACCCTAGCAAGTCCAGATCACGAGATATCAAAACCAAAAGTTCTGCTGCAGTACCAAGGAAAGCAGGTTATTAGGTGCAGGTAGACATCAGAAATACCTAGCTACACAGCTCCAATTTTACCTGCACTAACCTGCATATACCCAGTACATGGACCAGTGCAGGTTAGGTGCAGGTAGACATCAGAAATACCTACACAGCTCCAATCTTACCTGCACTAACCTGCATATACCCAGTACATGGACCAGTGCAGGTTAGGTGCATGTAGACATCAGAAATACCTGCACAGCTCCAATTTTACCTGCACTAACCTGCATATACCCAGTACATGTACCAGTGCAGGTTAGGTGCAGGTAGACATCAGAAACACCTGCACAGCTTCAATTTTACCTGCATATACAGGTGGTATTTCAAGCCCTGCATAATGTTCCTTCAATTTTGACAGGTTGATCCATGTAATACGCTATGCATCATAAGGCAGACTGTTCCGACACAAAAAAATAACAGAAACCACAAATCTGAAGATTACAAAGACCTATCTACATCTCTCAATTGCCTCCAGTTGATATTGGCTTTCCTTTTGATAACATTGTCATCTCACCAATAAGGCATTAAAGGGCCCAAGTTATATGGCATAACCTGGTCTATAAATGTGTACTGTAACAGTGTAAGATGGGTTTTACATAATAAAAGTTGATAGCCAATTGTTGGATAAAAATATCAAGGGAATACACAACAATAATAACTGAAGTGTACATGACTTTGTAAATTTGACAGGGGGCATATAATATAAATATATACAGAGCAAGAAATATCAAAAAATGAAGAAATGCACAGTTCTTCTGATGCACTGAAACATTATAGGTAACAACCCCCAGAAATCATATAGTCAAAAGGTAATTGTAATAAAAGGAATAAAAAATAAATGGCAACTATTTTCAAGATCTTCTATGAATTGTTCTACGAGTACACCATAAAATGATGGAATCATATTAGATCTATTTTACATTCATAGAAGATGACAGCCGCCAAAGTCAGTGGTTTTTGTCATTCTGCAAATCGCCAATTTTATCGTCACCGATCATTAGGGCAGACGGGGAAAAACAGCCAAGCACACGGTTGACAAATGGTAAGTCAGAATTTAATTTTCCACTTCAGGAATGTTATCTGTTTTGGCTTGTGGTATGCTGAGTATCATTACTATTGGGTAGCATGGGTCAGTGCATATACTGGCATTTCTGCCTGAAGAAGAAATACAATATTTAATATCGAGGACTATTTCAAGGATTCTGAGGGTTGGATGGGTGCCAGAGTGATTCATCATGAGCAAATTGTGTTCCACTCACTGTGAATGTGCAGTCAGAGAAGTTACCCTTCTTGAAGGCATTGGCTTTAAATTGATTAGGTGAAGACTTACAATGTACATGCAAAGAGCAAATTCTACAACTAGAGTTCCCTGATCTCATATTACCTTCGCCAAATGATGTTAATCTTTATGACTGACAAATTATAGACTACAGGTATTCCCCCTTGATTTAACAAATAGGATCCTCATTTTCATTAATTATATCTGATTTTCAGTTATATCATATTCTCAACCAAAAGACAGTGACTGTTATATCAACAAACAATGCCATTCTAACATTTCCTCAAATTATGCAAATTAGGTCCTGATTTGAATATATAAACATTAAACATTATGTTTAATGATGTCCATCACTTAACTATTAAATACCACAAGTATGAAATTCCAGGAAGTTTTCATTACATTATAAAATTTTCTCATTAATTATGCAAATCAAGTCTTCATTTACATAATCAATATCTGCCTGTGTTTGGTGATGACTCATAAATGCTGCAAAAGGCCAGCATCTGCCTGCTTGTTGTAAAAGTAGTGATATGCACAACTGAAAATTTGCAATACCAGCTTTTATTCCTGTGGTTTAACAGCATTCTCCTTTTTGGCTGGAATTTTTTTATTCACCCTCTCACATTAGTTTTGAATTAAAAATTATAAATAAGTCAGTGTGGCCTTAGACAATCAGCAAAAGCATCGACCAAGTACAAATGTGGTACATGACATGTAACAATGATAGGATAGGAAGATGCATTATTCCAACTACTACAAAATTTCTGAAAAAAAACAAGCACACACATATAACAAAGCAGCATTGTAAACAGAATTTATAGAATCCACAATTAGGTTACAATAGCATATAAACCTGACAATATCTGTCATAATTTATTGTAAGTCCATGTCTAATATAGGGGCGTGAAACATTTAGATTCAATAGTTACAAACAAGCATAACAAAGTAACATTGTAAACAGAATTTATAGAATCCACAATTAGGTTACAATAGCATATAAACCTGACAATATCTGTCATAATTTATTGTAAGTCCATGTCTAATATTGGGGTGTGAAACATTTATATACAATAGTTTACAAACAAGCATAACAAAGTTATGTTGTAAACAGAATTTATAGAATCCACAATTAGGTTACAATAGCATATAATTTTAAACCTGACAATATCTGTCATAATTTATTGTAAGTCCATGTCTAATATAGGGGTGTGAGACATTTAGATTATAGTTTACAAACAAGCGTAACAAAGTAACGTTGTAAAACAGAATTTATAGAATCCACAATTAGGTTACAATAGCATATAATTTTAAACCTGACAATATCTGTCATAATTTATGGAAGTCCATGTCTAATATAGGGGTGTAAGACATTTAGATTATAGTTTAACTTTACAAACAAGCATAACAAAGCAACGTTGTAAACAGAATTTATAGAATCCACAATTAGGTTACAATAGCATATAATTTTAAACCTGACAATATCTGTCATAATTTATTGAAGTCCATGTCTAATATAGGGGTGTGAGACACGCTCTGACAGGTTAGAAATATGGAGGTATGCAGACACTTGGCTCTGGGTATTATGACAGCCCCGCCTAGTGGGTAACACACACTATAACTCCTGACTATATATGTCTGCCCTAGGAAATATAGCCTGGAGTGTCATATGGAGGGAACTAGAAATTTGAGCTCTTGGAACATCTATGGGGGCCTGCATGGGGGGGTCCCGACAACGCTCTACTCCAAATTCGGAAACTTCTCAATTACGCTTTATGATAAATTCCAAGTAGCTACAACGCATTACGTTGAATTAAAATGGCGAATATGCTCTACGCAAAATGCACTAATCACACTCTACGTTGAATTAGAGCGGTCCTTCTACGCTCTACGTAGAATTGAAACGGCCGATTACGCTCTACGGAAAAGGGCATGCGGGCCCCCATCTGTTAGCCTCTTCTAGCAAGGACCTACCAAAATATAGCGTCCTTGCTTCTAGTAGTTGATCTGCAATTTTTGATTGAATTAATCTAGCCATGACAAGACTAATCTTCTTGATAAATAACATGGATTGTGTGAAAAATTGGTGAGATGTTGGCTGTGCTTTGCCAAATTCTTTCTGACATTGCTGGCCCATGCCTTCTATCTCTTTTGCCACTCAATGAATTTGTTTCTCTCTTAAATCTTAGTAGGTCTTTAGTTTGTCAAGTTTTTGGCAGCAGGTGCAGCAAAAAGACGGTCGGCGAATAGTTTGTTCATGGTAATGATACATTCGTGGTACAGAAGTGACCGTGAAAACAGCGAACATATATCATTTGAGCCCTAAAAAAAAATCAGGAATTACAGTATACATTGTCAACAACAATTGTTGTCTGGCACAGACTTTTAGATGTTTGCCCTTGGTCTATTGGTACTTTATAGTCCATTCTTTTAGCACTGGTATATTTCACAGAACTCAGAGCTAATTCTTTTTCTCCCCCTTTTGTAAGGGCCTGCAAGGGGGGGTCCCGACAACGCTCTACGCTGAATTCCGAAACCTCTCAATTCCGCTTTACGATAAATTCCAAGTAGCTACAACGCATTACGTAGAATTAAAACGGCGAATACGCTCTACGCAAAATGCAAAGAGCGGTCCGTCTACGCTCTACATAGAATTAAAACGGCCGAGTACGCTCTACGGAAAAGGGCTTGCAGGCCCCCTTTTGTGACTGTCTCCTTGTGTTGTGATATAGATGAAAAATGTGAGACTAAATTTGGAGGCTGCATGGCTCTTCAAACTTTATGGTACCCCTGGAGGGAGGGTCATGGGAACTATGTCCCTGGGCCTGTGTGGTGTCATTCCCTGAGTTCCACCCTACATAGCAGCCTGACAAATTGATACTAATGACAGGGCAGCTGGACAGGACACATGCACCACAGGAACAGGCAGGGCGGTGCACTTGTTGTAAGGGCTCAGGGATGGGAGGAGCCGCTTTAGGAAGACTTCACACAGCCCCACCCTCCCTTTGTTAGGCCACATCGACTTAATTTGTTGGTTCTCCAATTTTTTTTCAGGAAAAAAAAAGCGACAGGGCAAAAAAAAAAAAAAGGTCTAGGTATCCCATTATAGCCCCAAATGCTTCGATAGGCTGGGTTAATATTTAAACAATGAATTTTGAATTTTTAATCAAACCACTGCATTGATAGATGGAAAAACTGTAACAACTACTAGGAAGGAAAGGACTTTCCTCAACTGTTGGGGGCAAAATATGAGCATATTTGAGTTGATTCTGAACCAGTAATCTTTTTTTTTTTTAGTCTAAATCAGAAAAAAATGAAGAAGCGAATCCCAGAACCAACAGATTAAATTGGTGTGGCCTTAGCATGCTATGGCCATTGTGTGATGTTTGGGTTAATGGATAGTCATAATACTGTAATTCACTGTATGTTCATGGTAGCTAAAGTTCGCAGTCTGAGAAAAAAAAATGATGCAGTGGCC